AACGCACATCAGGAAACCAGGACCAAGACGTTTCGTAATGACGTTTCGACCATAATGAGTTGCCCATATAATACCCAAACAAAAGAGCGCCCTCCTGTTGTGGACTTGAACCATAATATTTCCAAAAGGTTAATGGGAGTGATAGTGATGTCGACGGCGATAACTAGATCCTTTTCAAGGAAGCCATCCGTGGAGGGGCAGTGAATTTGTTCGGTATAGGGGTGCGTTTGTTTAGCCATTAATTCTGTTCATGCGATGTTACTGAATTGCCCTCCTATTTGTCTTGGTTCAAAGTGTCTATAAATGAGGATGATGATGACAAATAATGAGAAGAAGAGGAGAAATTCAGGATATGAACAACTGAAACTGTTATTTACTTAGCTTGGGCAGACAGACCACACCGGCTACGTCGGAGTTGTTGCACTGCTGATAGGCGGTGCAGACAAACGGACAGTCAGCCAGCCGGCTCTCTGTCCCCTCACAGGCGACTTTGTTCATCACGACGGGCAGGTCGCCTGTCCCGTACTCCGATGCTTTATTAGCCTGGACTGCGGCGCCGAGGTCCAGCTGACGACACACGACGTCAGCGTCGTTGATGTCCCAGTCGCTGGCGCAGACGGTTCCCCAGCTCACACCTTCGCCGTGGTGGTAGATTTCCACACGGCCGCTCCTTTCGTCGTCGCCGTCAACCAACTTAATCGCACCATCTTCAGGAACTGTAAAAATGGGCAAATTCTACTCAACTGATCCAAAATGGCAAAAAAAACATCGACTCGACTCGACTCGACCACACACTGTGACTCGACTCGACCTTCTTGACCTCATGACTCACCTTAAGTTCTCTTTGTACCTGACCGACTCACTGATTGTCACATGTGAATCAACGGCGTAGCTATACCGGGGTGGTGTCGGCGTGGGGGCGCCCCATGAATAATCGTTCCCCAAGTCGCCCCCACTGGAAATTTGGCGACCAGAAGAAAAGCACAGTACTATAAGTTACCATTTATTAACGTGTTGTTCTTAATGTTTCCCGTTTTTACACGTTTTCTGTTTATTTTTCACAAAAACCCTGTTTCCGCGTTTACCCTCCCATGGAAATCGAATACCCCACCTATATCGTCTGAAATTGACCATGAGTCCCATGTTGAACGGCGCCAACATGGAAAGATGCCCCCCCCCCCCCCATTTGATTTTAAGGCAGCTGGTGCCCAGTGGAAAAAAAAAACCCAAAACAAAAAACAAAAACTTGTCTACCTTTCAATTCAGCACGGATGAAATTGGGCGCCCTCCAGCTCCCCCCTCACTTGCACCGTTAGGATGTAAACCCTGGCTACGCTACTGGACCTTAGCAAAAAGTTGACCAGCTTTACTAGACTCAAGGGCGGATCCAGGGGGGGGGCAAGGGGGCCATGCCCCCCCCGAAAAAAACCCAACATCAACAAACAAACAAACACAAAAACTGTTTTTAAGTGACGTCGCAATAAAAGGCACCCAACGAGTACACCGCCATATTTTCCTAAAAAAACCATACTGTTTATTGGTGACAAATTGCCTCAGATCTCACAACAGAGCATCTAGAATGAACACCAAAATTCAGGGCCCTTATAAAGCGGGCCCTGAACCGCACGCCGTATTTTTTTACCCACTTTTTGGGGACCAGCATTTTGTTGCCCCCCCCCCCCAAAAAAAAAAATATATGGGTTCCGGATCGCCCTTGACTAGACTAGCCTATTTAACAAAATAAATAAATTGCATTAACAATGTACCTTGACACCCGAGCACCTCAAATCTTAGATTGTAGCAGCCACCTTGCCACTGAGATGGGAAGATACGAATATACCTCGCTAGGGGTACCATCGGGAAGGTGACATTTGTCGCTGCACCACTACTCACTCTGAACTGTAAGAGAATTGATTACATGTTTAAAGGGAGAAAATGTATTGAGTACGTTTGGTTGAGGTCTGTGGCCAAAGATCTCGATATAAAGTGCAACACACTCAAACAATGATTTGACGGCTTTTGAAATCGGTCATTATTGTCGAAAAGAAAATGTTTATACTGTGTGAATGATTGACGTGTGAATTATGTTCAGTATTTCATTGCTTTGTGAAACCTTTGATTGTCCAGAAAAAAAAGTCTTGCAAAATCGCAAGTCCCCTTCTAGATCCGTCACAGTGTGTGTTCAGAAAACCACTGACCGTGACAGTTTGTCCAACGTCGTTAGACAAGCTACTCCAGTCACCGGAGTCCGCCGTCATGCTGTACTGCACTGAAAATGCCCTGACAAAATAGGTGGAAGTGGAGTATCTGCCTTGCATGGTGAGCCCAGTAACTGCCGTGGGTTTACCCAGGTCGACCTGGATCCACTGCCCATTTGGCGTTCTCGGTTGCCACCCGTAGCTCCCTGATTGACAAGAAAGGTATTGGAAGAGTCAAGTTCTTCAAAGGTTGTGCAGTCGCAAGACCAAGGGCGGATCCAGAACACAATTTTTTGGGGGGCCAAAAAAAATTTTGTTCCCCCAAAAAGTGGGTCAAAAAAATTACGGCGTGGGGTTCGGGGCCCGCTTAAGGGCCCCGAATTTTTTTGGATTCTAGATGCTCTGTGGTGTGATCTGAGGCGATTTCTGACCACTTTAACCAATGTTTTTTTGAGGAAAAGATGGTGGTGTACTCATTGCCCAGCCTTTATTGCTATGTCAAAAAGTGGGTCAAAAAAATTACGGCGTGGGGTTCGGGGCCCGCAGGGCCCCGATTTTTTTTTGGATTCTAGATGCTCTGTGGTGCGATCTGAGGCAATTTCTGACCACTTTAACCAATGTTTTTTTTTAGGAAAAGATGGTGGTGTACTCATTGCCTGCCGTTATTGCGATGTCACATAAAAAAAAAAATTGATTTCGTTTTTGGGGGGGGGGGGGGGCATGGCTCCCTTTGCCCCCCCCCCCCCTGGATCCGCCCTTGCGCAAGACACGTGTTAAAGCGAACTGTCCTTTGTTATCGTTCATCAACTGTTACTTGTGAGGACTCGTGAGTGGGCTTAAAATATAGCTTTGATCGGACTTGAAATTGATTGGTGATGGATTCGACTAACACTGTTGTGGAGTAAAGTAAAAATATAGCGTCCAATGTGTAATCTTTTCCCCCCAATTCTGGTGAGGTGGACTTATAGGGGCAGGGAGAACACTGACCTCGGGTTGGAAGTGTGCAACCCATGGAGGGATGATGCAGCCCCCTTTCCCTTGATATGAATTTGTCATTAATTGCCATTGTAATCATTTTCTCAATGACGGTAGTTTGCAGAAAGACTAACGCAAACTTTTTTTCTTCAAAATGAGAGTATTAACAACACCCGAATCTATAAAAATGAGCAACAGTGTGTTAACGTTTAGTCATTTGGCTAAATTAAAGCATACTTTTCTTAACATAACAGTCACCTTTGTCGGCAATACGCGTCAACGTGTTTTGCATACGATTCAGATCATTCCAAACAAACTTGTATAAACCTCGTTGAATAAAATATCGTCAAAATTGTGTCAACTATTCTTTTGGGATTTTGACCCAAAAGGCGTTTATAAATGGGAAGTAAAAAATAAACAAACAAAACTCACCAACATTAAGACGAGCGGCACGTGGGTAGTAAATGGCATAATAGTAGAAAGACGATGCTGTGATGCTGCTATCAGGGATAGCCCCGTTTTGCATCCCTAAAGGCCCACCGATGCAGGGTGCTCATGAAACCGAAGAAAAATTGCATACATTTATTACATTATTTTAATGGCATACAATGTTGTGCGATGATAATCAAATTATTTAGAAATATGTGAAACATTTGTTTATTTATATGTGCAGTGTACGATTGTTTTCCTACTTCGGATAATTCAAAAGTGTGAGTAGTATTAAAATGTCCAAACTTTGTTTCTCATAACAGCGTCGTTTTAGATTGAACACTGACATATTTGTCCAAACCTTGTGAGTAGGCCGCCGAAATTCTAAGAGAATGAGGACGCTGTAAAGATGCTTTGTTAAAGTTAAATGATGTGAATCCCAGGTTAATATTATTTCTTTATAATTATGCATCGTTATGGTTTCTTTTCCGTAAGCCTGCATGCTCTCATTCTGAACTTACCGGATGTTCCAAAGTGTTCATCTCCATTGATAGGATGAGACATGCATGGTCCTTGAAACGAGAAAGTTCATGGATAACAGGAAAAACATAATTGTGTTTTTATCTGCGGGGTAGCTATAGCAGTTCAACAAGTCATCATGTCTCTCCGTTAGTTAGTTAGTTATATTTATTTGTTATAGTAACAATCGCTGCAGTTGTATATTGCTCCAACATATTTGGACCGCTTTCAACCAAACGTTGTCAAAAGTATCAGCAGCCGAGCCCCACCATGTCACATGACGAGACTGGGGTCAAAGGTCATCATGGAGTGAAGGCCAAGATAACGTCAAATTCAAGTTCAAATGAAAAATTAGCGCTGATGTCAAGCTCGACACTGACACCACGAAGTAACACCCAAGTCCACTTCAGTCCACTTCTGTGTTACTGCGTGAAAACCGCCTAATGGCAAATTTTGGTTCACGAAGTTGAACACTAAAGTGTGCACGCGCACATCGGACACCGGCACGAGCGATTTTCGTTTTCACAAACTTACAACACTGTTACAGAAATATTATTTGGATAAAGACGTTTCAAAACGAAATGTAATTAATCCGTATTCTTGTAGGATTACAGAATATTTTAATAAAAAGCCTTCAAATAGGTGAAATAAAGATGAGTGTTACTTCGTGAAAAAAGAAAATGAGCGAGTCAGCGCATGGTGTACATGAGTATTACTTTTTGTAAACGAAAATCACTCGGTTCTGTTAAATACGCGCGCGAAGCGCGCACTCAAGTTCACTTGGTTGTTACTTCGTGGTGTCGCTGATTATGTTGGCCTAGGTCAAACATTAAAAAAGCGGAACCCAAACCCAAAAAATATAATTTCATATTTAAAAAAATATGTATCACTCTAGTAATAATGACTGGAAAGCCAATTTCATAAGCTTCTTTTAGATGAACAAATTACTGAAATCGTCGCCACAAAATTGTCTTCAAACATCACCAGTGGTAAAGCCTCAGTTTAAAAGTTTACAATATTCAACAAACTTTTTAAATATGAAATGTTTTTGTGGGGGGGGGGGGGGGGGGGGTTGTGTTCCGCTTCTTCTTTTTTTTACTCACCCTGTACAATGCATTCCTCACGAAGTGAAACAAAAAGTAATTATGCATTTTAAGTCATACCTCACCATGGGCCGGGTGCAAATTTTCTTTTCACAAACGACATCGGCATACATGGTTGTTTAGCGCCCTCTACGATACTTTTTTGATATAGGTATATAATTATTTGTTTCCGCATGGGGCTCGTACCTCCCGCCCTGCAAACAGGACGCTGGGATACTCTGATGAGCTTCACAGAATCTTGTGAAGGAAGTGGCCTATGACCTATGTAAAAAGCATCTGGCTGCAGCTGTTCAAGACCGCAGTTAGACAACGTGCGCTAATGCTATCCGAAAACTTCCCATAGAAATGCGCACATTCCATACCGGATGTGATTTCTGTTTCATTGCGGACTATGTGGACAAATTTTGAGCGTCGCATAATGCAATCCGACCGTTCGTGATTCGAAACGGAGCCTGAGCAAGTGACGGGAATTGTCAATTTCCAACACAGATAAGTTTTACAAAATTGCCTACATTATTACGCTTTTCAACGAGAAAAAAAACCCACATCTCTAAACTGGAATAAAAGAGTATTAATGAATCAGTCGAAACGGCCGTTTCAAACCTTACAGAGTCATGACCTTGATGACGCGCAGATCACTGGTTACGCAAAATCCAACCAATCAGAGCGTGAATTCATCAGAGTATCCCAGCGTCCTGTTTGCAGGGCGGGGGGTACGAGCGAAAGTCGATAGAGGATACGATTTTGCACCGCGAGGTTGCGGGTTCGAATCTCGGTTTTGCACCCGAATTTTTCCCTTTTCTAATCTGAGGCTTTGGAGGATTTTTTTTTAAAATGAAATAAAGTCCGAATTTCATAACGTTCAAATTCACTTGTTTTTCTAATTTTATATTTTCTTCTCATGTTTTTATAAAAGTTAAGTCCAAAACCCCATAGTGGCGTACACCCATATGTGGATGTCGTTTGGGATAAAAAGAAATCGCGGGGCGGGTTTTGTTCGATGTCTCGTTCAAAATGGAATAACGTTTGTAATGCGGGTAACATTTTGAAAATAGCAAGGACAGCACAAACTTGAAGCGGTACTTTCACTCTTTACTTACCAGAGAAAATAGTCAACAACAGAATCACCAGGATGCGACTGGATGCCATTATTGTACCCGAAGCGGCATATCTTCTTCAGGTGCAAGTAATTAGATTGGACGTCGACTGATCTTCTGACAAGGGACGGCAGATATTTCAGCTTATATACCATTGGCCTACTGTGTCAGTCAAACCCTTGAAACTTACCGTGATCTATTTTCGTGTTATGAAACCATGTTGTTTAACAACTCTAGTACTTCAAACCTTCATTCCATATCCTGGTTGACAACGATAAATTGAGGAAATGTAAATTGAAAAACGAAAAACAATACGAAATCCCGCAGTTAAACAAAGAAATATAGTGTATATATAGTGTGTCAGTCATGATAAATAAAATGACGACGAATAGAATGGTAGACACAAATAATAAGCAAATATATAAAACAAAACACCTAAGTTAAAATGTATAACGAGCTTTTTCGATCTCACTGAGACGCAACATCGTACCACCATTACGGGTACAACAGCGAACAAAATGATCATTTCCAAAGCGACCACGGCTTATTTTTGAAAGAGAGGCAGGAGCCAGTTCAGCTTTTTATTATAGCCATAATAGTGTCAATCAAATCCTTGAAAACCAGCGTGATCTATTTCAGAGTCATGAAACTAATTTTGGTACACAGTCTGTGTTGACAATGATAAATTGAGGACATTTCGATTGAAGTGACTTTGTAAAATCGCGCAGTTTAACAAGGAAATACAGTAAGTGGTTTTTTTAATTTCCTGCTTAGTGTGTCAGTCATGACAAAAGCAATGAAGACGAATGAAAATGGTTTAACACAAATAATTAAAAAAGAACACAAAGAAAGAATGTACAGAATATAAAGTATAACTCAAAGTATTTTTGGTATCGTACCGCCATCACGATAATATCCACGGCGATTATAGGTTATTAGATAAGATCCTTGTATTTGTGTCCAATGTAAAACTGGAATAGGTCCGCGCCAAGATGGTTGCGGCAAAGATTTGTTTTTGGGTTTTTTTTGCATTTGGCGTGCTGTTTGAAAAGCAACAAAACTAGTATCGGGTAGATCTCCTCCAAATGCCCCCACTTGGATGAGCATCCTTTTGGCAAGCTGATTTACCGTAACTGACCACGTTACTACATAATGGTATAAGATAACAGGCAGAACCCCCCCCCCCCCCCCCGTGAATGTCTTTTTCCCAAAACTACATCCACATACATCGTTGTTCAGCGCCCTCCACGAGACTTTTATGATACGTACGCAGGTACATACATTGTAATTATTTTTCCCTCACGTTTTGGCGAGCGGTGCGATAGGTCAGTTGACAGGGTCGTGATTTTGCACTGCTAAGTTGCGGGTTCGAATCACCGTTTTGTACCCGAAATGTTTTTCTTTTCCAACCTGAGGCTTCAGAGGATTTTTTTTAAGGGAAATAAAGTTCGAATTTCATTACGTTCGAATTCATTTTTTTTTCTAATTTAGATTTTCTTCTCATGTTTTTAGAAAAGTAATAGCGTACACCCATATGCGGATGGCGTTTGGGTGAAAACAAAATCGCCCCCGCCCACAACCACCACCGCCATTCGAATTAGACCATCGTCGGGACATCGACAGAGTTGGCCTTTTTTTATTTATTGCGGAAGCTTGCTTTACTTTGATTTCCATGCAGGCCCTTTGAAGGTGTTTGGTTGAGAAATTCGAGAAAATAGTTATCAGCTATAGCAAATTTATCAAAATACACTCTTTAGGTTACCGTTTTGCGCGGGACTGTCGGCCTTTAAGCATTGAAATCTGTTTCACTTTTAAATTACGCAATGTTGACCGTAGCTTCAACTGAGAAGTTTCGATATTCGTGATGACAATGACATACTTTTCGATGCTTTTAAATTTCGATTTTCCATTCCATAAAAACATAGCACATGTCCAGTTCAGCAACGGCGGAGTTCAGCTGCAGTCCGTATACCTTATCAACAACACAGCCCACTGGTATCCGTACTTAGGAATCCATCTTGAAACACGTAAAACAAGCCCATTCTAAACGGTGATAACATAGAGCTATAACAAAGAGCTCCATGGTGATAATAAGTATCAGCTCGCTCAAAAAAAAACACCCGCTTTTGTCGTGGCATAAAGAGGCGTAATGACTCCCACGACTCTTTGAGTTTATTTAGAAATTTCGTTTGTTTTGGAGAAAAAAAAAGAACTCTCAACTTGCGCTTTCCAGGCGTGGGTGCTGCCTAGTTTACCACAGGCAAAATACACACACACACACACACACACCCAGACTAGACCATGCACTGTACATCGCACGTTGATGGCCATCTTTTTTTTCGTGTTGCGTTTTGTCGTTGTCATTGGACATTTTTTACCCCCAAATTTCCCTAAAAAATTCAAAACCCTGCCCTTCATTATGACATACCTGTATGTTCTTAATGCCGCAGACTAATAAAGTGGATTTTGTTCCCTTATAGGAACCGGGCCCGTAGATACACAATCAGCGGTTTATTTCGTTGTGATTGCCCGACGCTCGAAGCGTGATTAAGAAAAATGAACCTGACGGATGATAATACAATGCATACTGTTTTATCTGACTTGTGTTGTCAAATTTTGTTGACTTTTGAAGTGTTGTGAGGTTATAAGATAAGCTAGCGCATAAGGATTAGTAATTTCACATTTAAAGTGCAGGCAGACAATAGAAATGAAGGCTACGGCCCTCTTTTCTATTGTTCATATACCTATTAACCTGGTATTCAGCCCATTTGCACGGCCCCAGTGGTGCGCCGATGTACCGGGCAAAGGGTTAAAGCCAGGCGCTGATCCAGAGGGGGGGGGGGGGGGGGGGGAGTGTCAAACATAGAAATTCATCGAAAATTCTTGATAAAATATACTACCCTCTGCTCCAACACCCAAATTGTTTTGGTAGTAATAATGTCCGCCCTTAATACGTACATAGCCAGCTTGGTTAGGGGGTATATGTACATTATTCCGTGATAATAGTGTTAATAATCGTCAATTTGAACAGCGCCCCATTGAAAGAATGGTGCGTTTTGTTGTTGTCATCGATATTTTACCCCAAAAAATTCTCTCAGAAATTCAAATCCCTGCCCTTCATCTATGACATACCTGTATGTTCTTAATGTCCCAATGTTTGGTAGGTCATATAATTTAAAAGTGGATTTTGTTCCCTTATAGCAGGAACCGGGCCCGTACACACGATCGCCGGTTAATTTCGTTGTCGAGATTGGTAACCGACGCTCGAGGCGTGTATTAAGACGAATGAACCTGGTATTCAGCCCATTTGCACGGCCCACATGGTGCTCCGATAGACGTACGTGTATACACAATAGACGGTACATGTGCGGTATGGTATATACTACCAGGATGCATGTACCGGGCAAAGGGTCCCCCCAGCTCTGTCATTTTTTTGTTCACAGAAATTCTTTAAAAATTAGCTACCCCCCTCCCCCCCCTGTTCCGACACCCACATTTTTTTTGTGTAAGTGATAATGTCCGCCTTGAATACGTACATAGCCAGCTTGGTAAGGGGGTATATGTACATTGTTCAGTGATATAGTGTTAATAATCGTCGATGTGAACAGCGCCCCGATTGAAAGTATGGTACGAGCCCAACACCCCCCCCCCCCCGCGGCCCCCCGCTTTTCGATTTTACGGAGGCCAGGTGTCTGGAGAAAAAATGTGTCTACCTATCAGATTTTTTGCCGATGAACCCCCCCCCCTGCGAAAATTCCTGGATCCGCCCCTGAAAGCAGAAACGATTTTCGATTTTCTATAAATGTTGATTTTCGACAATTTAACTTGACCCACCCACCCACAGTTTTGCAAAAAAATAAATCGAAATTTAAAGACATTAAACATTTTGAATGGCCCCTTAGGTACTCTACCGATTTTGTAAGAGTCCTTGTGTATGGGTGCGTCACAGTTTCATATAATTATTGTGTGTCATCATCATTTTGTTGTAAGGGGTGGGGGGGGGGGCAAAACCCAACCTGCCCCAAATCCTTATACTTTCTCTAGCATATTCCCGATTAATCATTTTTTCGATGGTGGGTGGGGGGGGGGGGGACATTTGCCCACCAACTCCCATGGCATTGACACCTATGCAGACGCCCATTTTTGTTCAATGTGTATTAAAATGGTAAAAATGACTTCATAACAGTGAGGGCAGTAATCCAGTGGGGGCAGTACTCTAGTAATTTACACCCAGAGAGTACTAGTATAGAGCCTTGGAAAAAGCTTCCAGAGAGTGCCACCCAAGCACCCACACTTCTCTGCTTTAAGCATGAATTGCCAAAACAAACATTGATATATAACCCCTCTTAACCTATCACGACAATGAAGATGAGGTGTGGCATCCAAGGTAAATCCAAGGTCAATCCAATCTGTCGTATATCAAAAGTAAAGGATCTCATGAGAAAAGCACCAAGATCTGCTACACGCTGCCTCGAGGCCAGTGCTTCAACGCAAATGACAAACAAATTATCAAAATGTAATTATTATTTGTTATTTAGTACAAACACTCTTTGTTATCTAGTACAAAAGTTACCGACGAAGCCTTGACGTCAGTGCAGTGTCACAGGCGGCAGAAATAGCCATTCGCCTTAGCTGCCGTTTATTTCTTTCGTCCTTGAATTTATTTCGTTTTACTTTTTGCTACTGGGAATGAATCAATGGTTGGCAATCATGTGATCTTAAAAGAAACCCCTAAAATTAATGGGAACCAAAAAAAAAAAATACAAGAGGACCCCAACAAAAAAGGCATAGAAAAGGACACAAAATTAATCCGATTATAACACACTTACCTTGATGAGTCTGTGACAGAAATAATTAAGTTTCATTGAAGATGTAGAATGGATGGAGCTCTAGCTCTGAGGATGACCAAGGTCGTTGCACGCCTCTTTGGGAGATTGATGTCAAGATTTTAAGGTGATATAAAAAGCACTGCAGTGTACGACCAGTGGTATTTAAAAATTTGACAGGTATAGGACAACTCCATTATTTACTTCAGCTGACAAAAGTACAAAATAATTCTGTTTCCTCATTTAAAAGTTTCAACATCAAAGTCCTTCGCCATGGAGGAAACATGATCTTAAGGGTCTACAAGTCCTTGGTGGGTGTCCTAGGCCTACTGGGTAATTTTCTAGTCTGCGTGGTCATCCTAAAGGTACGGGCCATGCAAACGCGTACGAACGCGTTCATCTTCAACCAGGCCGTGATCGATTTCTTCGGCTCTGTGGTCATCATCTTGCAGACGGATGTGTCGCTGCCTGACCCTCTACCTAGCGGAGCCACTGGCTGGATCTGGTGCCACATCTGGATCTCTCACTTCATGACGATGATGTTCTTCGTCTCTTCCACGTTCAACCTGCTGGCCGTAACCCTAGAACGATACTTTGCCATCGTGTACCCTTTCAAGTACCAGGCCGCGTTCGCTTCGTACCCGCGGCTGAAGGTTGGGGGTGATCATAGCGATCTGTTGGATCTGCGGTTTGGCTATCAAGATCTACTCCCTCACGATCGTGGAGAACACTCCGGACGGTAGGTGCATCGAACGCCCAATCCCTGGGTCCAAAGGTGTCGGTGTCCTGACAGTGTTCGTCCAGTATATCGTGCCAGTATGCGTCATGTTGTTCGCTTACGTCCGTACCAGTGTCGAGTTAAAGCGTCAAGCGAATCGGTCCGGTCCGTCAACTGGCACCGTCAGCAGGGCCGTTGCTGCAGCTTCAGGGGCCCCAGAGAGCATGAGCGATTCCTTGCTGAGAGCCCGGCGCAACACCTTCAAGACCCTATTGGTCGTTTTCGTCACTTTCCTGATCTGCTGGTCTCCCAACCAGATCATCTTCCTGTCGTGGAACTTCGGCTGGGATGCCAAGTTCACCGACTGGTACTTCGTCCTTACCTTGGCTCTGGTCGCAACCAACTCCTGCGTGAATCCCTTCATCTACGCTCTCAAGTACAAGCAGTTCAGGTACGGACTGCTGCAGATACTAGGCAAGAAATCGGCCCAAGTAGACGCAGCGTAAAGGCTGCCATGCACCATTTATATGTCCACTGTCACATCAAAACTCACACTCTCAGACTCTGACTTTGTATTCAATATGTACGGGATGTGATAACTTTGGTTCAACAGGTTCCTTCAATCACACACAAAACTAAGTAAGAATGTCGCTTTGGTATGAAGATCAATTCGTTATGTTTATTGTAATTTTCTGATTGCACAAAAAGATTTGAGTAGGCTGAGTTTCAATGTAATTTTACGCACGGGTTTCGATATAATCGTGTTATTCAAGTTTTCAAAACTCAAGAGACAAACTTGCGGTGCAAATCTCGTCTCAGTAACTGTTGAGATGTGGAACAATTCAGACATGGTTTTACAAGTTGACAAGGGGAGCATTTCACACGTTTAGGATGTGCACCCAATCCGAGGTGTGATAGTTTTTTCAAGGTGCAAAAATGCCAAACTTAAATCGCTCATATTTAAGGGCAGCTTAATTCTGACTCAAAACAACATTTTAACCCACTTTGTTTTAGAAAAGTCAAGTTCCACGGCGCACCATTGCCGATTCTCAATATACCAAGGGCTTAAATCGCATCCAAAATCTATACACAGTAGGCGTGTACCGATGAGTAATATTTTTTCCCTTGAAAAAATAAATCTCCAAACCACAAATTAGCAAAAGATTTTTTTCCAAATGATTAGAATATTTTAAAGAGAAAACAAAATGCAGTAAAGAAAGAGAGAGAGAAAAAAGTAACACCCATGCAGTGGGATTCGAACTCATGACCCAGCTGGGCCTAATTTCATGGCGCTGCTAAGCACACAATTTTCTGCTAATAGAGTCTCCATCTAATTCATGCAGACCATAAGCATAAGCACAGCAAAAGGCAGGCTTACTTCAGAGGACAAAAATTGCTTAACTTAGTAACGTAACGATAGAAATCTCCATGCACGCGCGACCGTCAGCACATCTACGACGTGAAATAGTGCTGAACGTTAGCATATTTTCTGCTATGCTAATCACAACATTTCTGCTACCTGTTAAGCAGCATCGTGAAATTGGGCCCAGTACAGGTCTACGGATGTACATGCAGTCCGATGTAGTATCAACTAGACTACACATTACAGTGACTCGCTCAACTGAGTTGTTTTCAGTTTGGTATATAGGCTACGTATTTTTTAAGAATTTCGATTTTCTTTTCCGAACGAAATTTAAAGGAATATAATGTCCTGTACAAATAAATGTGCTTGTTTGTTTTTACAGGCCTTTACACGGTTTTAAAAATTGGTTTTAAATGGCGCGCTCTAATTCAGAAAATGCGCACACTATTCAGAATGAATTAGGAAATTGATTTTGTCATAGACCGATTTTTTTTCGTATGATGTCTCATTGGAAAGCTCATAAGTTAGAAAATTATCAATTCAATTTGAAAATCTATTTGTCAAGGTGCCATACCCAAAAAGCACGTATACACTAACTTTAATAGCGCCATCCGTAGTAATTTTCTCTATAGTAGCGACTGTGTTGTATGGGGAAAAATCGCTACCGGTGAGTACGGAGTAGTCAGGAAGGCAGAAACAATTGAACTGTCGCGATGTAACACTCCAAATAATGTGAGTATTCTTATAAAACAGAGGAAAGCTACGGTCTCTGACATTTAACCTTCCTGTAAATTGAAATTAACCTCTCCGAGAGAGTTATAAATCTGAGAGAAGGTATAAATCTGAGGAAATGAATGGCGTTGACATTAACTCGCCATGCTATTGCAGAGTTAACATTAAAGTTAAAAGCGGGAGAGTTAAAATTGCCGATGTAAATTGCAAAAGAAAAAATAAGTAAATAAATAAAATGAGCGTTCACATGAGTACGGGGATTGGTTGGTCTTTTAACATTATCTCTGAAAATTTATTGAAATTCATAACGCTCCCGCTGCCAATTTCCAAAATGTACACATCCATATAAATCTGAGCAACGTCAACAACCAATACCGATAACCAGTACTCGAAACAAAACCAATTTGAGTTTAACTTCAACATGTGTAAAAGTTAGCATATTAATCAGCCAATTCAACTTAATGCCGTCATGTAGTGAAACAAAATATTCCAGGAATTTTAATCTTGATTTATTGTGAATGAGTCATGTACAGTGAAGTTGATTGTGTAATTATTTAGAAAGTCCCTAATGATGTGCTAGAATCATTGTGAATTATAATGTCATTCCATATTACTGCACAATATTTAATGAATGCATTGATATAAACATCTACTGAGTGTGGCCAAAAAAAGTGCAACATTCAGTTTAATAATTGAAACTGTTTAATGTTTTTTCTTCAGTGAAGTTGTATTTTACATTAAAGCCGGACTATTTCTCAATCCACTCCTATTTACCCAAGTCCATTTGGGTCCCTAGATCCAGAAATACAATCAATTAAGTGAAAGGGTGTATATTTTACTGGGCACATCCCGCCTGTGATGTCACCAAATTTTAAACTGAGGCTTTATTGCTGGTGATATTTTATGGTCATTGTGTTTAAATGGTGATATTCTTTGAATGGATTGAGCAATTTCAGTATTTTTTTCCACCTAAAAGTAGCTTAGTGAAATTGGCTAATTGGTGCTACATATAGTATAAAATATAAGATTGTAAATACAACCCTGTAAATACAATTGAATAATTGCAATGACGAAACCTAATGTTAAACTTAATGTCTCCTCACGACGGGCAGAGCACGTCTGAAACGTTGAGTTTTTGACACCCTGTGCTACTTATTTTGAGAAGCGTTTAGCCATTTTGCATCAATCTAAAAAAAATACGTGTGTTAGGACCAGCTTTCCATTGCTTAACTTTTGTAATGTTTAAATACCCCATACAGTTACTAATCCTTTTGCCCCACTAAGCCGCCTTTCCATTTTCGCATCTTCAGTCAGATAGACGATTAAAAATGGACTGACATAAAATGGACTGGAAAAAAAACCCCGCGCATCCGAAAGGATGCCATGTTTTAGATCATCGTGCTCTTTCATTTATGGAGACAATACACTGACCGGAAACGTGGGAGAGGACAGGAAGCTCTGCAAGATTGCAAATAACGCGGCCTTCCGTTTTGTGTCTACACTTCGCAATGGACACAAAACGACCGCTTTTCATGCCCCATTTCTCTAACCAATTTGCCACTGGAAAGTAGACCTCTTTGTTGCCACCGATAAAGGCACTTACTTTTAAAAATGGTCTAAAAGGTATGCTGCGGGGAAAAAACTCCCTAACTGACGATAACGGCAATACAAACTGCACTATTCTTTGTATCGAAGCTCTGGCCTGCATTTAATCTCCATTTGCTTTTATTTAAATATGCGTATTCCTTGTTTTTTGTGCATTTTGTTCGTTTGAAAGATCAAAATTCTTCTAGAGCGTTAAGTAGGGTGCAAAACAGTGGTTCCAAGACCAAAATATTCTGACTATTTCTGATGAATCTTAGGTCCGGTAACCGCTAGTATATTTCCAAATACAGTGTTTAAACAAAAACTATACACTTTTAAAATTGGCCATAGTTTTATTCTGTAGCAATATAAATAAGATATTTTCATATATACTTTTAGAGTAACTCTTCTTGCTTCTTTTGGTGGCATTTTCACTGGATTAGTTTTCATGCATGACTGCACAGGAAACAATTAAAGGGGTCTGGTGAAATCTGACTTGCGCCAACTGGTCAGGGCTGGATAAGAATGAGACAATTTAAAAGAACACAACCATTGTCTTGGTTCCGGTTATGGAATGATAACCAGTTCAGATTTGTGGATCTTGCTTGCAAGAGTTTCAGTAGGCAAATCTGGATGACCTCCAGGAAAGGATAACTCGTGAAATTAACATTCTCAGACAAGACAGGGAGGTGATTCGCCGTGCTGTTGCAGGAATGATGCGCCGAGCCCAGCTGTGCATTGAACGAGATGGTGGCCATGTTGAGGACTAAGACACTGTGGAATTTAATTGCTTTTTAATTTAGTTTAAATGTTTTAAATAAACACGAAGTTTAAAAGCTAATGAAATCCTGTTTTGTCTCTTTGCTAAACAATTGTCTCTTATCCAGCCCTGACAAGTTGGCGCAAGTCAGATTTCACCCAACCCCTTGTCTCCTGTGCAGTCAAGCATAAAAACTTATCCAGTGAAAGTGTCGCCAAAAGAAGCAGGAAGAGTTACTCTGAAAATGAAATAAGGTTCTTTAATCCGAGCATTTGATGCGATGATAGTCCCAAGGTACGTTAGTCCGAAGGTTCGATAAATTAACTTAAGGATTATTTGTCCAAAGGTTTAATAGTCCTAATTAACAGCATTGAACATTCTTGTAAATTCGGACTATTGAACCTGATGTGCTTTCGGATTAATGAACCTTCGGACTTTTGAACCTTGGTTTTGTTTCGAACTATTGAGCCTTCGGACTAATTAACCTTATTATTAATTCGGATTATCGAACCTTCGGGCTAATGAACCTTCGGACTAACGAACCTTCGGAGTTCGGAGTATCCCATTAAATGCTCGGATTAACGAACGTTATTTCCTTTTCGGACTAATGAACCCCCGGTTATGGGAAATGTGTGAGTTCGGACTATCGAACCTTCGGATCAATAACACTTCGGACTGTCGAACCTTCGACTATCGAGCGGTAACCCAAATCTGCTACCCGTAGATTTTGCTCAGTGGCAGCTATACCTTTTGCGAAAACAGAGGAATCATATGCACACGTTTTGGGGTCTCGTAAGTGGATTCCGTTGATAACGCACGTACAAAATGTGTAGGCAGGAACGATACCATTCCAGGTGGAATACTTTCACAGGTCATTTGGGTACCATTTGAAAAAGGTTTCTAACATTAAATCAGTAGGTCAGTTCTCGAGTAATTACCAACGTTTTATACGCGCCTTCAATATACCACGTATTCATTGTACATCGTGCTATTCTGATAGTCCGTATACGTGACTTTACTATACCCGTCGTTGGGAATGAGCTTGCCTTTATGTCGAGTGCGGCACAATGGATTCAATTCGAACTACAAATTATTCACGACTACAGTTCTCTTTTTCTTTTTTAATCAAAAGCGAGGTTCAGTAATTGCTTCTGTGTCGGCGGCCGCCAAGCAATTTCACGCCTGATGTCCAATTGCTGGGACATTTCGTCAAGGATCGACGGCGCATGAAAACACTGTAGAATAACAAAGGCCTACCATCCTATTTTTAGGAGCTCAAATCGGACAGGAATAGACGCGATGCCTTCGAATTGCTTCTGGCCCTTTGATGGTAACACAATTTAGATGGGTCATAAAATATTCAGGATTGAAAAGGACACTGCAACTTCAAAACTGACGATTATGATTCTCAGAGCCAAATCTAATATAAAAACGCAACCAAAGCCATTATTGAGGTTGTAACAAACTTTTTTTATGCATCAAAAGGAGAAAAAATAAAGAGTCTCACTAAAGATGAACAAACATTCATTTACAGAAATATTTAGGTTGATGAGAGTGACTTAGGATTTTGTGTTCTACGAAAGCGTCAACAGAGAAATTGCACGAGACAGGAAAGCTATATAAGCAGCAAAGGGGCGCACGCCTAGCGACATTTAAGACGAAGCGCCCATAGTTCAGGCAGCCGTTTAAAGTCCACGAATTCAGATTTTTAGTATCTTATTTCCGGAGTTTAAACATCGAATTCCTTCGACATGGAGGACATCTTGATCTTAAGGGTCTACAAGTCCTTGGTAGGTGTCTTGGGCCTACTGGGTAATTTTCTAGTCTGCGTGGTCATCTTGAAGGTACGGGCCATGCAAACGCGTACGAACGCGTTCATCTTCAACCAGGCCGTGATCGATTTCTTCGGCTCTGTGGTCATCATCTTGCAGACGGATGTGCCGCTGCCTGATCCTCTTCCCAATGACGCCAGAGGTTGGATCTGGTGCCATATCTGGATCTCCAACTTCATGATCATCATCTTCTTTGTCTCCTCTACCTTCAACCTGCTGGCCCTGACTCTAGAACGCTACTTCGCCATTGTGCATCCCTACAAGTACCAGGCTACGTTCGCTAAATACCCGCGACTGAAGGTGGGTCTGACCATTGCGTTCTGCTGGACCTTCGGCGTGCTTATCAAGATCTACACCATCATGATCGTGGAGAACACTCCGGACGGTAGATGCACCCCACGCCCAATCCCCGGGTCTCAAGCTATCGGCATCCTGACGGTGTTCATCCAATATATCCTACCAGTAGGCGTCATGTTGTTCGCCTATGTCCGTACCAGTGTCGAGTTAAAGCGTCAAGCCAACCGGTCCGGCCCGTCGACCGTTGCTACTGCTCCAGGGGCCCCAGAGAGCATGAGCGATTCCTTACTGAGAGCCCGGCGCAACACCTTTAAGACCCTAATGATCGTCTTTATCACTTTCCTGGTCTGCTGGTCTCCTAACCAGATCATCTTTCTGCTGTGGAACTTCGGCTGGGGCGCCAAGTTCACCGACTGGTACTTCCTTCTGTCCCTAGCCCTGATTGCCAGCAACTCCTGCGTGAATCCTTTCATCTACGCTCTCAAGTACAAGCAGTTCAGGAAGGGACTGCTGCAGATACTCGGCAAGAAGTCGGTCCAGGTAGAGGCTGCCTAAAAACCGCCGTGCACAACGAATAAGTGTCCCTTTGATCCAGTATAGTCCTCGGTTTCTGGTCACCACGAGCCTCGTTTCAAACCGTGTGTCGATGTAGGCCATATTTACATGTACACGCTGGTAACTCGAAATAAAGGAAATCATCATTTGACAGCGATTTTCACCTACTTAGTTTACTCATTTCAATTGTCTTTTTTCAGATGGTAGTGAAATGTAGCCCTTTAACCATGAGTGTTGAAAGAAAGCTATGTAAAAGTCGCAAGAATAGTGATATTATGCTAAGCTGAATATAAGTCACCAAAATTAGTCTTGTCTACATGTTATTCTATGTAAATTGGACATTTTTGTAGTTGACAAACACATAAACTTTGGCAACGTAATGTTTGGACCTGGTAACTTTTATCGAGGCTGTCCGATTATTCATGTCAGTGTTAAGATCATAATATACAAGGAGCAGTAGGCTAAATTCATTGTTGCATAACATTACATAAAAAATCACATATATATGCTTGTTTGAAGTGTGCTAATATTTGTCTTCAAATCAAGCTCCGGTAGCTGAGCTCAGTCAAGCAGATCAAATGTATACCTCCGTGGACAAACAGGTTTCGCAAATGAAATTTCCAAACTACTATAGCTCAGAGACAACACATGCAAGTGCAACTTTAATAGCTACCACTCAAAAGTTTAAAATAAGTTTTAAAAATAGGTGAAAATTGCTGTCAAAAGTGGACTTCCTGTATTTTCCCCGATTCATCTGAAACAGTATAATTGAAAGCCAAAATTGTTCACGTGGTTCTAAATCCTTCGCTTCGCTTTGTGTTTGTTGTAAAACCAATTTTTCTTCACATGGTGCAAATTGTTTTGGCCTCTCCGTGACAAACCTTTTCACAAGTGGAAGAAATATTGGGGTTTCTTTTGTACAGTTTACCCAAAATAATCATATACGAAAATAATTATATACGTCACGGTTCAAAACGTATGTGCTTATTTAAGAAGAGAAACATGTAAACTATTCAATCATGTCACACCAAAACACTGGATGTGGATTTGTGAAGTGGCTTTTAGGTAGATCATTTGAATTGTACAATGTGTGGTTTGTATTCTTGGTTATTAAATGAAGTTATCGTGCTGTTTTCTGTGCCAGTACACCTTTGTCAAGGTAGTTATGACGAAAATAATAAAATTGCACCACTTTAATCTCTACTCTATTGTCATTACAAAGATCAGATCTAAAGGATGCGACAGTGCGAATGATAGACATTACAACCAGTTATCCCTTTGCTAAATGAATAGAACAGAATGGAATTGCTGAGATTCTTCGATATTTTATTTTTCAGGCCAATAATTCAAACCTACTTGTGGCAACCAACTTATGGCGAAACGTAATCGGCATGTCGGCAAAATGATGAACTGTTCTGTTGCAACCCCCGCCACACCCCTTCCCCTAAAAAAAGGGAAATGGTATTTTGCCAAAACTGTTGACAGTATACATTGGTGTAACAAAGTTAGCCTTTAAAAATGTGTTGAGGCCTAGGCCTACTTCGTTTCAAATTTTGAACAATTCTGTGCAATTATCCTTTTTTATTGGAAAGATAAGTATGCTACCGTATACCCAACTATTCTAATTGGTTTTGTGACTCGGTCACATATCAGAATGTATCATACTCGAATCTTGTATTTGTGATATATTATTATGGGTTTCAACTGATAGGTTTCGCTATTTGTATCATCACTTCACATTGTAAGGATTTATCTGATTATTTTGAAGTTTGCAGATGATTACTGTAACTGTTTTGAGAAATTCACTTGCTATCTTACTCTGTTAGATGTTTATTGTGGCAAAAATTCGGATTCAATTCCGAAATTGCGTAGAACCTGAAGTAAATTATTAAACTTAGAAGCGTAATTTATTTCAAAGTTGAGGATTTTAAATTATATATTTATAGTGACTATTCGTAAAAGTGGTTATTAAAGTAACATTGTGGAAGTTTATATCAAGAATCGCTTGAATCTATGCCTAAACAAACCAGTCCGCAAGCACGTTATCAGGCAAAAGCACTGTGCCATCTATTGTTCAGATAATCCGTCATTGGTTTAATTTGCTTTGTACAATATCTAGCATAGTGCTTTCGCCATTGAAGGGGGCGTACGCGAAAGTAGCGATAGTTTGCTTGGATTGTTTCTCTTTTGTAAAAAACAATGAAGTCTATTTTATAATTTCTCCTATATATGTATTTAACATGTTGCAAGATATCAGGCACTGTAAAATCCAACGAGTTGAACCAGTAGATTTCTTTCAACCGTGCACCGTTTGTGAATTAATGTGGATTGTTGCATCATAAATTGGAATGTATTACTCAATTAAATAGCTTAGAAACATTTCCTTGAATGTGATATCACTTTCACGCATTTTGTTAATTGTTAAATTCTCAGATGTTAGTTGTATATTTTTTGCATTGACCTTGCGTCTGTTTGGAAAAAGTGCTCGTTCTAAGACTATGTCGTGAACTGTGAATGACGATATCCGCAGTCCTGTAATTGTGTACTTATCATGTATGTCTTTATGGATGTCTAAGGATTTCTGTATCTCATATCAATTTATGAAATATAACACTGCATGACTGTAGGCCTTTGTGTGCGTCTGTGTACACAATAGCCCATTCATGTGGCGTTAAAGGGGAATCCTATACAATAGCACTGCCCAGCCCATCAGTGATAGGCAATGAGTCCGTGAGTATATCCTCTCTGGGTCCAAATGGTTAGATTTCTGAGTTTATTTCTATGTAAATTGTGTTTATCCAGCTTACAAACTCATGGGGCATCGAACCGGGGACATCCGTACTTTAGTCGAGTAAACACAAATAAAGACATGTAAAAGTAGGCCTACATGTAAACAGGTATATTGAATGTTAGTACGTTTGTGATACATTTTAAAACGTGTAAATTATTTTCGCAAACTGACTTGATATATCAATATTATTGAATAGCATTGCTGGAAACTAATACCCGACTCCGAGACTGAAAATGTTATCAAAGTGTGGCGCGCCCAGGCAATGAATGGTTGTGTCTCTTTTGTTAATGTTTATAAAATATGCAAAACGTCCGGGGCTTACTGAATAGTGTGCGCAATTTCTGAACTGGAGCGCACCATTAAACCCACTTTCAAGCTGTATAATGCCCTGCAAAAATAAACAAGCACATTTATTTGTTGCAGGACATTATATTCCTTTAAACTTCGTTCGGAAAAGAAAATCGAAATTTTGAAAAAGCACGTATATACCAACTTTGACCTTTTTAAATTCCAAAAACTATACAATCACGCGCGGCATGTTCGTCAAGCTTTCTAACAGCTTCTCCGTAGATGATAATTGCCATATGCTTTACATCAAAGCAATAATACCTTTTCATTGAAAACAACTCTAATGACACCATTAATCATCCTTCTTTGAACCGCGTAATGTGTAGAAAGGAAATAGACAAACGGACGTTTTGCATATTTTATAAACATTAACAAAAGAGGCACAACCATTAATTGCCTGGGCGCGCCACATTTTGATAACATTTTCAGTCTCGGAGTCGGGTATTAGTTTCCAGCAATGCTATTCAATAATTTAGATATATCAAGTCAGTTTGCGAAAATAATTTACACGTTTCAAAATGCTCACATACGTATTAACATTCAATATACCTGTTTACATGTAGGCCTACTTTTACATGTCTTTGTTTGTGTTTACTCGACTAAACCACGGGTGTCCCCGGTTCGATGCCCCATGAGTTTGTAAGCTGGATAAACACAATTTACAAAGAAATAAACTCAGAAACCTAACCATTTGGACCCAGAGAGGATAGACTCACGGACTCATTGCCTGTCACTGATGGGCTGGGCAGTGCTATTGTATAGGATTCCCCCGTAACGCCACATGAATGGGCTATTGTGTACACAGACGCACACAAAGGCCTACAGTGAATAGCCATTCGGAACCGGTTGAATATAATTTTTTTTGTGATTTGGGAAAAGCTTGGCTAGGCTTGCCTTGACTTTCTTTATTGCCACTATATGAAGATTTCCATTTTACCACAAAATGAATCATCCGACTGGTTTTTTTTTACATCATTATATATGATGTCATCGAAATATAAAACAACATTTATTTTGCTTTCTTGAAGATCAATTAAAATATTTGGAGTCAAATGAAATGTCACACGATATTTACTCCTATGTACAGAAGATTCAGATTCCGCGGTTACTATTTCTACATGTCAACCACAGCAAGAGAGGTTTTTGGGGACACTGTTCTGTAACCAAAAAAAATGGCGATAAAGCCTGGTGGAAAAGGACAGTTTTTGCCATGAAGTGGACCTTTTCACCATAAAGTGGACCTTTTCAACAACGAATGTCTCCCCCCCGCGCTCCCCATTTAAAATCTTAAACTGTGCAAAAATATGTCAATTGCCTTCAGTGCCCCATTGAAAATTATGTGCACCTAGGTGCCCCCCCCCCCCCCACCCACCCACCGGCCCACCAGAATTAGGTTTAACCCTAGTCACGCCACTGACTGTTAATACCAAGTAAACAAAATAATTACTCTCTTTTAACGTTTTATTTTTTCCGGTTTCTATCGTCGAAGAGGAAAGTATCTTTAACTTAATAATGGGGACACTGTTAGGTTCTTGGGAAGTTGTTGCATTAATGTTTGAGAAAATGTATTTCATTCTTCCCGAGGGATTTTCTCAGCATTAGCGATTTAGGTCGATTTGGGATCTAAAATCGCTTGTGATCAATATCACAGTGATATTGAGACCGATGTCTTATTCAAAAGTGAATAAGTTTGATATTGCTAGGAAAAGAGCAGTTGAAAAGCAAATTTAGTTTTCGAGGTGAAACTCAAAATAATTTATCTCGGCAAGTCGTCACCCTGATTTCCGTAAGTCAACTTGGCGAGTTATCGCTTCTTCACAAGTTGTCAAGTCAACTTTGTGAAGTTGACTTAGCGACATGATTTATCTGGACAAGCCGATATCTCAATTGAGGAAGTCGATTTAGCAAGAATATTCATCTCAGCAAGTCGTCATCTAGAATTCGTTAAGTCGACTTGGCGAGATAATTTATCCCGGCAAGTCGTCATCTCGACTTCGGGAAGTCGACTTGGCTAGATAATGCATCTCGACAAGTCGTCATCTCGACTTCGGGAAGTCGACCTGACGAGATAATAATATTTATGTGATTAAGTCGCCTTACTCTCCGCTATGTGTCAACATGGCGTGATAAATTATCTCAGTATATAAATAAGAGGATGGCACTCATGGAGCGCCGTACTTATCCACATTACGAACATATTATAGTATTTTTTTTTGATTGGGACTGTACATAGGCCTAAATGTTTATGGTTACTGTTACCGATGAGCAGGTTGAACTGCGAACACGGAGAAACTGAAGACACAGTTGTACATCGGAGTCTAGCTTTGGAGTAATGCTTTATTCTCAACAACTCAATTCTACCGGGTCTTGCATAAGATAAATACCTCAGAACATACGGCTGAAACGGTTTTCGTATGTCTGGGTATCAGAGTAGAGAAGGTGAACCGCACTGAGAAGATGAGGACTAGACTAGACGAGGACTCTGGTTTCCAGGGAGGAAACTCAACGAAAGTGGAAAAATGTGGACATTTTTTGTTTCAGAGGGCAACTTTGGGGGAAACAGGATATGATATCATATATAAGGAAAGCATAGCTTAAAGGTGGACTGACGTAATGGTTAGTCTTGGGGAGTACCCTTATAATGCCATTTTCCAATCACAAGGGTGAAATAACAGTCTTGGTATGTTGTGGGTGTTTTGCTTGGAAAAGAGTAACGTGAGGACCTTGGGATGTAATGTGGAACACCCGATGATAGTCCGAATTTCGATCTTACACTATTTGAAAGGTCTGGCCGAAAGGAAACTATAACCTGATGTCTTACCGCTCCCCAGCAAAAAATAGAAACACACAACACCCCCGGTCCGCTTGTTTAATTCGGACGTGGCGGATATTTTGTGGCATACGCATACGTATTTCCAGTCGTGTCCATTCGATGGATGGTACACGTTGTGTGTGTGTGTCACATAATCCCACAGCACTAGTACACAAATGTTGTTTCTCGCACGGTTTATTTTCGAGAGAGCACCCACACCACTGACCACAATATCACAACATAGGACACACAATCATCTCGCCAACGAAAACCATCCAGAACAGAACTTGCTGACTCCATTGAATGAGCAAATTCACAATTTAGGCCTACCTATATGAACATATTAAAAAAACCACCAACTATCGGTTGAGTTGCTCGTAGACTTGCCTAATACTTAAAGAGCGCAAACCTCCGCCACGGCTAAACAATACCCCGCCATATTGTCAGTACACCCAAATGAAATACTCGCATACATCTATGGTGAGGAATCTTTTTAGAAAAGGAGGAAACATTCTGGATCCAGACCCAGATCCAGATCACTTCCAAAATATAATCGATTTGTTCTGTACCAAGGACCACCCCTAAAAATGTTTTTTTCCCCTTGCAAATCCGTCAATTTTTCGCATTCTTTACGTCCATAACTTGTTGAGGTATCTTATTAACAGACAAACCAACCAACAATATAACCAAATGCACTAAAAATATATACCTCCTTGGCGCAGCTATACACCAATACTACAGTTAACTCACTGAAGAGAGAGTCCCTCAAAACTTCGCTTTGGCTAACGATACACCCTATGGAACTAAATTACAAGACCCGGTGGTGTCCCTACATGAAAAGAATGCGAAATTGTAGGGGCAGTTTAATTTAATAACATCTGAATTCAATTTCTTAGTGAGCTTGGATCTACGATCTATAATAACAATTATGCATCGAACCGTTGGTCTGAACATTTAGAACGAAATTGAAAATGTACTTGACATGGGTACCTTTGTGCATACTAAATTTTAATAACATTTGTCATTGGATACATCCGACATTTTGGCGACTTCGCAGGCTATCTGTTAGTTGTCACATGGGGAAAAAACCACTTCAATTTCGGTTTAAGAGATGATTGATGGTTTTATATTCTCATTACCATTGCGGACCGTAAAGAGCCTACGGTTCTGTCAAAGACCCTGAAAGCTTTCAGTTAAGGAATCAAGATTGTGAAAATAAATCAAATGTAATCTGGTGAATAATTTAATAGATTTAATTAATTGCGGGAACTGCAATACACGGCCCGCTCCAGATCCAAAGCGCGAGATCGTCTGGGGAGACAGTAATGAAACTATTGTGTACTGTGCTTTGACGTTGGTTTCATACACGGCCAGATGAAAATTAATACTACGAGAGATCGCCCACAGTGCCACAGTAGGCAAAATTTGTCCTAATTGACGTCAAGTTCATAAAACTAAAGACTTGAAGGCACATAATTATAAGGTGGGCCTCCCTCACCCAAAAAAAGCCTAACAAAAAATATAGAAATATATTTCAAATAAAAACACCAAACACCATGTAGCACCAACATTTATTTGTACTTGAAAACCCATAGATTAATGATTTTTAAGTGAGAACATTTCAGTTGCTTTACATGTTAACATGTTATCGCTTTTTAAACGAAGTAACCCCTAAACCAGTTTCGTCAAAATAAAACCCAGTTTATTGTGTGTTCTGAATGTTTGGAACAACAAAGAAAATGACACAGAATACTTGTTTCAACAACTGCAGTACACAATATCTTTATTAAGAACCATGTATTGGCTAACAGTAGGATTTATACAATCCAATTCGTTTTTAAAGACGGGCGCTCAAAGGGACTACGTTGAATATTTGTAACTTCAAACTGAGTTTGTGTCGCTGGGGATGTTTGAAAGGTAACGACAATTCTTGAAAACGCATTTCTGGACGAAAACAAATTTGGGGGTCATTTAAATGGTGAAACAATTTGAACGGTCTGAACAATTGATTGTTTTCATCTAAAAGTAGTTTATTAAATTCGCTCAAGTCATAATTATTTTTGGTGCTACATATATTTTTTTAATATGGAATATATTTCATGGGGTTTGGGTTCCGCTTTTTTTTTTACTCACCCTGTAGGATCATTTGCTTTTCTTGATTGTTTTCGTTTCCAATAACACTAATCAAATTCAAAGAAGACTGATTAAAACCTAATTTGTTGAAGTTTCAGCTTATGCAGTGGAATATATTCTGTTAACGTTTTCGAGGAGACAAGATCACCATGCACAACCTTTGATCACGAAACACAATTTCGACCATAGCACACTTTATTGTTAAAAAAAAACAAGTCGATTGACTGATTGTTGATGACAGCAAGCCAGCCGGAATAATTTAACGACTTGTTTAGTACCGATCTTAAGCCCAAGTAAGCTTCATGATAATATAGGTTACTTTTGGGATGAACAATTCAAATGATATCGTATGCCTTTAAATTCTGGGCACTGTTATACGTAGCCCCTATAAAGCACGACATCGTTAAGGGAAACAGTAATGAAACTATGTGGTACATTTGTCTATTGTATTCTGAGTACTGAAAATGGCACACAATCAACCTTTTTCTGGGGGAAAATTATAAAAATGCGGTCCTGTATTCGTGTCTAATTAGTGGCGTTTGAAACCGCCTGAAACACGCACAATTATTTATACAAGGAATCAGAATACGTACGCGATGCGCATTTGTTTTGGGTAATAATGACCTACAAGTCGTACGTCACCCTCTACTGCTGGTTCAATCAATTTATCTATCACACACTATGAACTAGGTCCTTAATTGATTATACACATGGTTAATACTTCACCAATGTATGTGGGCGCCACATCTTCGTCAATCCAATTCAAACAGAAAACTGATATAGCGGAGTGGCATGGATGAATTAATAATTTAATACATGTAAGCCCTGCATGGATGCAGTCTCGACAACAGGTTGCGGGGTACTCGGTTCTCATACCTGGACCTGGCTACGCACGGCCCTGACGCACACGCAATCATCAAGCTATCTTATGCCATCCTCATACATGTTAAGTTACATCAAAAATGTCTTCTGAATCAGTTCTGTCGCCGTGCTCAGTATAATAGTGATACGTACATCAATGAAAATTTACCAACGCTGGGTGTGCCTCCCTGACCAAGACATGGAGAAGATTCTTGCATTGTTGATTTACAAGACTATCATCGGCATCCTGGGCGTTTTAGGTAACGGACTGGTATGCATGGTTATCGGCCGAGTGCCAGCCATGCGATCGCGTACAAACGCATTTATCCTCAACCAGGCGGTGATTGATTTCTTCGGCTCTGTGGTCATCATCTTGCAGACGGATGTGCCGCTGCCGGACCCTCTTCCCAATGACGCCGTCGGCTGGATCTGGTGCCACATCTGGATCTCCAACTTCATGATCATCATCTTCTTCGTTTCCTCTACCTTCAACTTGCTCGCACTGACTTTGGAGCGCTACTTTGCCATCGTGTACCCTTACAAATACCAGTCCTGGTTCTCTTCATACCCGCGGCTGAAGGTGGTTGTGACCATTGCGTGCTGTTGGATCTTTGGCGTGGCTATCAAGAGCTACACCCTCATGATCGTGCAGGAAACTACTGACGGCAGATGTGTCTCGCGTCCGATCCCTGGTTCCAAAGCCATCGGCATCCTGACGGTGTTCTTGCAGTACATCCTCCCGGTCTTTGTCATGTTGTTTGCCTACATCCACACCAGCGTGGAGTTGAAGCGGCAGGCTGCCCGAGTCGGCCCCTTAGTGCTCGGACACCGAGGCCAATCAACATCACCCGAACATCGTGATTCCAACCAGGTGCCCCAAGAGAATCTCACGGCGTCCATCCTCCGGGCAAGACGGAATGTCTTCAAGACACTCATGATGGTCTTCGCCACTTTCCTCGTCTGTTGGTCCCCGAACCAGATCCTCTTCTTGATGTTCAACTTCGGCTGGGAGGTTAAGTTTAGCGACTGGTACTTCCTGCTGACGCTGGCCCTTGTCGCTACCAATTCCTGCGTGAATCCCTTCATCTACGCACTCAAGTATCAGCAGTTTCGCAGCGGGCTGCGGCAAGTCTTCTGCCGGGGCAGGCCCCGAGTGAACAGCATTCCGCGTACGACAGATAACACGGCCACAAGAACAACTGAACTGAACGCTTGACTGGCTCACAACATTCAGACACCAGATCTATTATAATTATCAGTATCAACGCTAATTCCGAACAATACCGATTGGCATTCAAGATAGTATTAACGAGTTAACACCGCTGATCAAAATTAATTAGTAACTAATTGGAATCCTAGTGCTGATAGACGTTTGTGACATTAAAGATAATCTCGGCCATCAATAATAACAACATTCTATTGAAAGTAGATGTTTTACCTCCACATACAATTGATTCGAAGCTAATCGGATACTACGGCATAAAAATGTGTAAACAACTTCGGTTTGAGGTAATTCCAGACTGAAAGGAACAAGGGCGGATCCAGAACACAATTTTTTTTGGGGGGGGGGGCCAAAAAAATTGGTCCCCCCAAAAAGTGGGTCTAAAAAATTACGGCGTGGTTTTTTTTTTGGATTCTAGATGCTCTGTGGTGCGATGTGAGGCAATTTCTCACCACTTTAACCAATTTATTTTGAGGAAAAGATGGTGGTGTACTCATTGCCTGCCTTTATTGCGATGTCACATTAAAAAAAAAAAAAATGGTTTCGTTTGGGGGGGGGGGGCATGGCCCCCTTTGGCCCCCCCCCCCTGGATCCGCCCTTGGAAAGGAACGCCCCGTTCCGATTTAGTAGAATGACATATTTATGTCATAAAGATATGTCGTAATAATGTCCCGCCGAACTGTAGCACATTTATGACTGTCCAAACCACAGTTGGGGCGTCCCAACATTGCTATACAGGCCTAATATCAAGTCATGTGTATACATGCCTATAGTTGGTGCGTACCAAAAATGTTATCTAGGCTAACGGAATGATGTATTTAGAGATACGTGAGAAACAGGTTTTGTTCGTCTATTTACTTTTTTTTGCGTATGAATTGGAGCTGAAAAAGTGATTGATTTGAGAGGATATACGTTCGGAAGTTCCATTTTTTTCCAGACTGTTTTAAATTTATGTGGGCCAAGCAGCCCGGGGCAATTCATTCTGCTATAAATTAGGAGTTGTTCAGAGTTCAGCTCTGGACAATTTGACGGATGCAGCTACACTTGTCTTAAAAGAAAAGAAAAAGAAAATCATCGTAAAGATGATGCATGTACACGTACAAACCATATCTTGCAATGCCGTACAATATCTCAGCACGCTGCACGTTGTTTTGTATAATATCAGATTTTGATGCGTCACATTAACAGTATGCTTTTGTTGCCCTTTCAATAGACGGGGTTTTCAACAATCGGGTAACTTTCAAGGGCAAGAAGAGTATCAAAAGCAGCATTCAATTTGCAACGCAAAAATAAACCGTAAACTGCATCATCACCAACAAACGATCGCACAACACGTATTGTTAGGACGTGTTGTAAGCGCTAAAAAAATATATGTATGTATACATATTTATTATGAAAGGAACGCACGTCAATTGTTAGCAAGTTCTATTGTGGTGCAACAATGGTAAATTGTTGGCATCACACGATAACAAATACCGAACTGAGAAAGAATTGCATTTTGTTCACTGGTAGCTATAACTCGATAAGTTTTTTTTATGTGTCGGTGTTTTTTTCAGTGATATTTGTCGAAAAGGTATTAAATATTAGATTAAGACTGTATACCAGAAAAAAAGTCTTGTCACGAGCTAACGGCATACTTTGACCGACTAGTGAAACTTGTGTGTGCTTTAGTTCCAGTAAACACCTGTCACAGTACTTGACGTGATCATGTTGTAGCGTTTTTAGATTGTCGATTGTTAAGTATCACTTCATCTTAATTTTTTAGTTAATTGTCGCACTTTAATTATCAACGTTACTTCTTGAAATTAGTCATTCCTTGTAAACATACACCCACACTAGCACCTGTACGGTGTGTATTGTTTATACATGACAAATGACCTCTTGGTTGCCCACACTAAGTCTTTCTTAACGCATACATTCCAAGATGCACTGGCCATTTTGACATTGACAGTTTTTCACTGCAGCTACTGGACCATTGTCATTTGCCATGTGTGCATTCTGTATCGTTTGAAGCAAGTCATCCAAATCTATAGACGGGGTGCTTAACAACTAACATGAAGAAGTTTTAGCTTTTTGGATGCTGTATATTCCGAGAAAATATTGTTCTAGGATCTCGTTTTCAAATCAAAATTTTGCCTAGTCATGTTTTGAATTCGCTCTTTTCACACTTCCGCCAAGGGCATGCACAGCCTCGATCTGGCAACTTTACACAATACGTGTCCGGGGTTCAGATCACTGAACCGGCTATTTTTATAGTGTAAAGTTGCCAGATCGAGGCTGTGCATGCCCAATGGCGTAGCGTATAAAAGAGCGAATTGCACCCGAAGTAGCTATATAGCGCACGTCTGGACACTTCTCATTCGGCCGATAGCAGCTGCGCAATGTCACGCGCTGAACTGACGAAAAATAGCAACCGCGCGCGCGTGTGCGTCGGGCCAACGTTTGCATGCGCGCATCCATTCAGGGATGTGCTGAATTACAAACCCAACTACATGTACTAACGGAAATTCCAACGATGCGTCACTTGACACATCGTTGGAAGTGGCCTTCATTCATTGTTTTCTTCAGAATGACAGCATGGCAGAAATATTAATTTCACAGGGAGTTTGGTTCCACTACTATCTTTATCCAAGTAAGCTTTTCATCAATAATTTCGTTAGTAGTTAGGATAGCTGCAAATCTGCCTTTAATTTGTACAAATCCATAGTCATCTTTATTTCTGAGAAAACATGAATACGTTTCTTTCTTAAATATTTCAACTATCATGTTTTCACACTTCACAGTATATAAGCACTGTCCCGTGGGCAGTCACTCGATCAGTGCAATTATTCCTCTCTTTTTCCTCAGTTCACTTTAAAGGGAATGTACAACATTTGCTTTTGCCGCAATTTTCTGAAATAAATGGATTTGGATGATTAGTATGTTATAGCAGATAAAATGACTTGTTTCACGTTTTAGGGTTGTAGATGCTGGAAAAACCAAGAAAACCAATCATGTTCTTGTGGTGTGGTTCCCTGACCCCACTTAAGATGAAACAGAGCAATTTATAGACTTTGGGGGAATTGTAAGGTCAGAGAATCAGTCTAGCAGGCTTGTACCCCTTCACATGTGTGTAATCAATTGCAAAGAAAACGCGGAATAACTAATTATGAAAAAATAGGAGCAGTTTTTGAGAAAAACAACCAGTTTTCTCCAACACTGGTCAGCCGACCAGCGTTGGAAAAATACCATTTTTCTTTAAAATGAAAGCACACCAGGAGCCACGACTTTACAGGATTCTTTAGACTGTCATTCCCAAACAAACCAGTGAGTAATTTCATGATAATTTGATCTTTTCGTTTTGTGATGTTTGCAAATGTTGTATCTCCCCTTTAACCAGTTTGTTTAATCAGTATATATTTTTAATTTTTGTGGAATAAAGTCGCGGTTATAACAGTTCTCAACTAAAGAAGTGTGTATTGACTACCTTTTCCCCAACTTGCAATCAACATAATTATGCAATTTTTAACGGGACAGATTAATAATTTTGCGACAGCTATCCTAACACCCAAATGCCTCTTAACCCCCAGGGGGAAACCTTGTGTGGACGTGTGCAAGTCCACACAACGTCTCTGCTACCTGGTTCATGTGGACCTCTTTTGTTTATAGGTCCACACAGTGATTGTAATGCTTGTGCATGCTAGCAGGTGTGTTTACAAGATGGAATTTTGCGTCGGGGTTTGTTTATGTTATGGTGTGAATCGAGGATTGTCTTTTGTTCCTCAGCTCAGCATCGATCTTTTGTTCATACTCTTTTCATACCACTTTTTTTGCAACAGCTCCATTGGTACACATTTTCCAATCGAGGACGTCCTTGATTTGACTCCAGTCCTCAATTACACAAGGATGTTTTACATGCGTGTCCTCGGTGTACGCCATAAACAAATTAACCCACTCGAAAACATACACGCACCCCTTTTCTTCTATGTAGTATAACGGTGATTGAGTGAATGAAATCCAGGGAAGTGATGGAACGCGGAAGGGGTATTAAAAATTGTTCGTGACTTGTATGCGATCCATCAATGCTAGTGCCGATAGGATAGATGTTGATTATGCAATATTCGGAAACCATAGTGTTGATAGGTGAGTCAGTTGTATAGATACACCAAGACAACAACGACAAATATAAATCGTCAAACTTTTTGATCGCTTCAAAAGTGCCTTTAATAATCTTAACGCAACTTCGCCAGTAATGTGTAAACAGTATTTAATACACAGCAACGTTTGCTCACAAAAACGGGTACAACTATTTCAGATAGACCCCTCTTCAGACAATTCTAAATATTTCAGAAAATGTTTCCCGAAGGTTAGGGACACTCTAGTCCGGATGAATACAGAATATCAAAACTGGTCAAACCTGACATCGGCTTATATATTTCGATGTTTCGTATGGGTCACAGTTTGGTTCAGGTTGGTTGACGAGGTGAAGTGAATGCCCATATTAGTACCGTGCACATAAACATGACTCTCAACAGATCGTTTGCATTCCAGCCTCACTATGTATGTGCTTTTAGTCCACAAGGACATGATGAACGCACGAGAAGACCTATTGTGTGTTCATCGTTTTGAATTTAAATACGAAAAAATAACTCCTGGCGCTGAATGCAAAGGGTAGGCCTAATATGTAATGATAATAACGACTCAAGATTAAGATGGCAAAAGTACACAATGATGATTCAATTCCACATGCAACATGCAGTCTAAAACCGTAAACATAATTGCACGAGTGTCCAAGTCTATGTCCATGGCACACAGTTCATGGTGCTGGTCTTGTCACTAAATCACACCCCCTCTATCTATTCACGTGACATTACCGAACGCTTTCTCTGAAGTACCCCTGAATGTTCTCGACATTTACATGTAGATTTAAATCTCGAGTGTCCCAGCGCATGCACCAACGTAATGCACAGTCGCACAGGTGAATGCATGCAGTTTGCAATATACATGCATACATAAAAAAGTGAAAGTGCCATATTTTGGAGCTCTGCTTGATACCAGAATGCAGTAAACCCTGTTAGACTCCTAACATAATGTCATCAGCCGAGTAATGCTTAAAAAACAAAGAGTCTTTTTTTTGGGGGGGGGGGGTCCTTGTATAGACAGCTACATTGAGACCATCTGGATATCATTTTAATAATTGCACTTGCTTTCTCTTCCCACTCTGACAAATCACAAATAAGCAAATTTCAGTTTGTGAATTATTTACCGGAATCACTGACTGAACGAAACCTGGTTACGCTTAGGAAGTACTGGAATTAATTGAGGAAACGTTTATTTCCTTTTTTTCTTCAGTCGTGTGCTTTATAAACAGGTTGCCTTTTCCATATAAGACAATCTCATCACCAGGCAATGTTCGATCGAATTACGTACTTGACTGCATCTGGGAATTGAACATGCGATGATTATGAATACATTTATCATGACTATACGTCTAGACTCATTCGTTACCAACGACCATAGATATATGTAAGTAATGTTATGGAGCTCTGCATAAAAAAGAAAGCTTGCAGCCAACGCGTTTAAAAAAAAATAATTTCAGACACGTTGGCCTTTCTAATTCACTTTATGGTCAGTGCAGAAAACGCAAGTTAGAAATGCACTCAGTCTGGGACAAAATCTACAATTAAAAAAAATTGTATCGCTCCAAAGTTGTTTTATGAGCCGACATTGATAGCAGTGATTTACCTGAGATAGTGAACTTGGAAAGGACAAGGTAAAACCTGCATTCGTAGGTAAGCAGAGGGATTGTGGGTTGAAGTCCAACTTACGTACATGGTATGAGGCTCACTAGCTTCATGAAAGGATTTTTCATACAGTAATATTCACGAATGACTGGCAGCAACCACAACAATTACGCTACCATTGTACTCATTTTAAAACAAATAAAAATAAAACAAATACTGTATGTTTCTGTCTACTTTTTTTTTAATACATGGGCTTTCCGAACACCAATGTTATAAAGTATTAATGTAACATTAGGATGATACCATGAACCTGTATCAAACACGAACACATTTCACATGCAAATACGTTTTAAAAAATAAATATATTCCTGAGCAGGACATTGGCAGACATCTTTCCCCTACATTAGATTATGGCAATGAAATAACACAAACTATTACAGTGAATTTCAAGTGAAGGGACTTTCTCAAGTCCAGATTAGCTCGTTGAAATGTGTTCGTTCACGTCATGGAAGGATATAAATCTTTAAACCCTCATTGTAAGGATGGGGCAGGGGTAATTTACATACAACTCGCTATGAGGGGAAGAAGTTGTCAGTGGTGATTAAGGGAATAAATGTGTGCTTCGGAGGTTTTTATCACTCTGTTTAAGACCACTTAGAGTCTGGGTGCTGATAATTACCTGAGCCGGAGGTGGTCACCCCTCTAAGTACCACATTCGAGAAATAACAGAAGATTCTGGAGGATTGAGGCGGTATGCAATTTTTACAAGGACGCAGTTGGAGGATTTTGCAGGATTGAGCTAACATCCTAGCTAAAATGCCTATAGGGAGTTGAAGATGATCCTCTCCTGAGCAAGCAATACAGTCTGTGCGGTGCAGCACTGTGCATGCGGCTGGCTTGTTTCCGATGTATTTAAATGGAAAATCAATGTATCGAAACATGTACCCCAGCGTCCACACTTGACATAGCGTAAATGCAATTTTGGTAGCGTTCGGTCTCAGATTATCCTTTCCAAACCATGGTGCCTTGCCCTATTTGTCATGTTATACATGTATTTCCAGTTTAATAAAGTAGAGAAAAGCTGTGAAAAAAATTGCAATATTTATACTGTGAGGTTTCAGCAGTACCTGAACTTTGATTTCCAATATTAAAGATGACTTGTAACTTGGACTCGACCTTTGTGACTGGTGACTCAGACTGGACCTTTATGACTCGGGATTTGGACTCGAGAGAGGTGACTGGCAATCGGACTTGGGCTTTCATATCTTAGATTTTGAAATTGCAAAATGCAAAACTTCATTAAAACAACGGTCCCAACATTTGAGTGGCGTTTTTTTTTAATCACCCTGTATTATATGTGACCAGCTCCACAAAAAAGGGTATTGAGTCGCTCTGAGCATTATTGTGAAATGGCCTGCTCAACATTGAGCGGCTGAACATTTTGTCAAACTGTGATTTTCATTTTTTGTTATGAATGACATCTCTGATACCTACAGTTTCAGGTTTCATTCACAGAAATGTTATTTTTGGTGGAAAAAGTGGGGAAAACAATGATTTTGTGTGCATCGCTCTGTTGTTCTACAACAAAGCCAGCTATTTTAAAGCCTGTTTTCTCAGTTGTGTAATTTGAACTCCAAGGAGCTCTATTATATACCAAATGAAAGCTTACATTGTGGGCTTTCCAACCATGTATATAACTCAATTTCAAGCGCCCTATGCTGCAAATTCAAGACAAAAGTGAACCTTTACTCAAACTCAATCCAGCAATACTTTACTTTAGTCCTTCACAAAACCATGCAAGTCAATTCTTGGCAAATGTAACTGGGGATGAACAATTAGCCACAAATGCCTTTATCACAGTTTGTTTGAATAGCTTGTGACTGAAACTTGTGGATTTGTGATGGACTTGACTTTAATACTGCGATCTAGTCTGGTAACATTTATGTACACATGCATGCCTACCTCATGATGAAACAGTGTAGCATTAGTTTTTTGCCAAATGGCAGAACACATAGTCAAATTCTTTGGCTTGGACGGCACTACTGGAAGGAGAAAATAACACGATGTGCAGCTCTCTGCTACATGTATCTCATGTAATTTCTCCTCTGATTTCAGTGGATGATTTCCCCTCGCTTGATGACATGTTTGATTAACCTCTCATGATTGCCCAGCTGGTAGATAAGATGCTCCCATCTGTAAAGGTTTTTTTTAAATCAAAATTGGAAAGAAACTGATAAGCAGTTATAACTTAAAGGGAATATACATCATTTGCTTTTGCTGTAATTTTCAGAAATGGATGGAATTGGGGGGTTGGAAATATAAAGCAAATATAGTTACAGTGACTTTTTGGAGGTTTTGGGTTCGAAAATGCTATAAAAACCAAGAAAAACAATCATTTTCCTGTAGTCTGGTTCCCTGACTCCATATAAGAAGAAACACAGCAGTTTACATACATTGGGGAATTGTAAGGTCAGGGAACCAGTCTAGCTGGCTTGTACCCGTTTATAGGTGTGTAATCGATTGCAAACAAGTGCGATGGACAATTGGGGCCAGTATTTGAAAAAAAGCCAGTTTTTTCTAACGCTGGTCGGCCGACCAGCGTTGGAAATTGATACAAAAATACCACTTTTCTTGAAAATGACAGTATACCAGGTGCCATGATTTTACAGGATGCTTTACACTGTCATTCACTAACAGTCCAGCAAGGTATTTCAAAATGATTTGGTAGTTTTATTTTTTGATGTTTGCAAATGTTGTATTTTCCCTTTAAAGGGTCCATGTAATGTATGTTTTTTAATGCAATCCTTGAAATGCACCTTAGTGTCTATATACATGTATCTCTATTTTCAATTTTCGTTTTGCCATTTCAAAGGGTATTCTGGTGCATTTTTGGTTTTTATGCTAATGCAAATTGCACATTCGTGAGCAAAAGTGTGATTTCATTTTAGCACTAAAAGTTGCCATAATTTCGGATATTTTCGCTGTCAAAAATGTTCTTTGTTTTTTTAGTAAGTTTTGTTGTGTTAATACATGGCAGTAAGCAAGTGAGCAAAGTTTTCACACAAACGTTTTCAATGAACACATTTTTGAGTTCACAATTTGAACAGAAAACACCTAAAATGAACAGTATCTTCCTGAAACGACAACACAGCAGCAGCGCCTTTGGTTGTCTGGAAAAGTATGGACAATTTTGATTGAAATTTAAAAAAAAAGGGATGGCAAATATATTTCAAAACATTTAAGAGGAGTAAAAAGATGCAACAATGTATTTAAAAAAAAAAAAATTTAATTTCAATAGCTTGTGACTTGACTTGGGATAGGTGTGACCTGTGATTGACTGAAAATTTGACGTAAATATCTACATGTAAGTATTCCCAGCCCAAAATCCCCCTGGCTGATATAGAAATGTTTAGGAGCGACAATTTTTTAGAACTCCTGCGACTTTTGATAGTGATGGGCACTTTCTCAAAACCACTTTGCACCGGAGGCCATGTATACACGCACAAGTTTTGCGGTATTCGGAACAGATGACGGGTAAGCACACAACGAGCAAGGCGGAAATATCTGGGTGCCATGCCGCTGGCAACGAGCAAAGCCGGAAATAGCCCAGTGCTACCCGCAGATTGTGGCCTGAACCCATCTGGCATCGAACTTCATCAAAAACAATATCCCACGCCTTGGTCCGGTCTATGTCAAAATAATCCCAGCGCGAAGTGGTGAAATTAAACTCGGTCAAATATAAGCCATTCCGCTCCCTGTTCTTTGTATAAGTTTCAATAAGTGCAGGCCGATGCAGATCCCGATTGGCGGCCAATATGGGCTGGCGCATATTCAGGTTGGTGAATTTTGAAAATTGAATACTTGATAAAGTCCATGTGGGAAAAAAGCTAAAAACAGCCCTACAGTATGTTCCAGAAAAAGCGGGCCCGGACAAATCAGCGGCCATATCTAAGCAAATATTCAGGTGAGACTAAATTTTGTTTGTGATTTTTCATGCTGTTGATGTTGTTTATTGCCTGAGGAAAAACAAACTGAATTAATTGAAAACTTCTAAAGCCATGACTGGAAACGGTATTAGCTTGTGCTGGTAAATTGGTGGAGAGAGGACACCATGAACCTGTATCAAATATGAACACATTTCAAATGCAAATGTTGCGGCATTAGCTTGTGGTGTTAATGGAGAGAGGGAGACCACGAACCTGAATCAAACACGAACAAATTTCATATGCAAATGTTGCGGCATTAGCTTGTGGTGTTAGTGGAGAGAGGGAGACCATGAACCTTTATCAAACACGAAAACATTTCACATGCAAATGTTGCGGCATTAGCCTGTGGCATTAGTGGAGAGAGAGAGACCATGAACATGTATCAAACATGAATACCTTTCACATGCAAACAAGAAGAGACTGTCTGCAAACAAGTAGAGACTATGCCTTTATTTCATTACACAATGTCATAAAGTAAACACACAGTCTCTTCTTGTTGGCAAAAAGTGTAAGTTTCGAGTTTATGGAGCTCTTACATTTCTAGTCATGATTTTCAATCAATTCAGTGTATTTTTCCACAGGCAATAAACAACATCAACAGCATGAAAAAACACAAATAAAATTTTGTCTCACGTGAATATTTGTTTATACATGTACATGGCGCCCGATTTGTCCGTGGCCACTTTTCATGGGACACACTGTACACCCCACTTGCATTATTGGTATACTGTGGTTCACAGCCACAATCTAGCTCACCTTGGCGCATCGATGACGATCATATCCCCGACCTTACCAACCTCCAGAGATCCATGGCTACTTGCTTTACCCAGGGAGGCGGCAGCGTTGATTGTCGCAGCTGCTAGCGCCTCGTCCATTGTCATACCCAGATTGACACAGGCGAGGTGCATGGCGAGAGGCTAAAATAATGACAAGAACAGCACCATGAAGATATAATACATGTATACATAATAAACAACACTTCAAAAATGTGGACTCCGGTCTGTATGAAATCCGGTCCCTTTTACCCTTTCATTGGTTGAACGTTTACAATCTTCGGTTAGGCATGCGCAATATTACCACTAAATCAGTATTGTCCTATCTTCACAACTACACCAGCACAGCTGGGTTCTGTGCCACACTCCGTGCAGTAGGCGCAAGCAGCCCGCCAATCTCCTAAAGAGTTGTTACAACTTGCAAGTGGTACTTACCATAACATAGCTAGAGGACAGTTTAAACAAAGATGAAGTAACTTTGTTTAACAAAATCGTTTGAAATTTTTAATTTTTGACTTGCTTTGACAGTTTGACTGAAAACGTATTTATGAATGGGAATTTAATGTGCTTGGCCAGTATTAAATACTATGTTTAAGACCCGTTTGGAGAGTGGTCTCTGATAATGCCCCTCGCCTTACATGTAGTTTTGGGTTGTTCAGACTCCCAAACTAGTCTTGGCCAAGCACACATTTATTCCCTTTATAGGACGCACTTTATCTGTGAGACATTCAAAGGTGCTGGTCTGGGTGGAGATTAGAACACTCAATTTTGTGTTTGGGATGAAAATTAAAGTCCAGTGAGAAAATGTATGTTTTGCGATGCCGTTGAAAGTGTGTGATGTCATGTTCTTGTCTGAGATAGGTTGAACGTGACCTCAGACTTGCAGAAAGCAAAGGGTGCAACAATTTATTGATAATGGCAATTTAAGTACATGTATGTCCCAAAATTGGCTGTAAAAGATCAACAAAACTGTACTTCAGGCACCAGAGGTCTAATTCTCACAACTTGGAACAAAATATTAACCCTTAAAAAAGCCTCAAAAATTACAGTTGAAAACAAATTAGAGTTGTAGCAATTTCATAGAAGTTGAAAACATAGGAAAATGCAACACACAATGCACAAGATAACATGTGAAGATAATATGAATAATTCCAATGAAAGTGTGCAACACATGTACTTCCAACAGTAGCTATAAGTTAAGTCCACAACACCCAATACATGTACACTTGTGTATTCAGTAATGTGACACTCATTGCGGAAAGTGGTAAAATTTGACTTTTAGAAACGATTGAACCGAGACTGCAACTTCTGTCTGCGCTTAATATTAATATACAACATTTGCGTTTGCTGTAATTTTCAGAAATGGATGGATTTGGAGGTTGGTATTTTATACAAAATAATGTTACACTGACTTGCTAAAAAGTTCCATGTTCGTGGATGTTGGAAAACCAAGAAAAAAATGCTGTTCTTGTACAGTGTTGTAGTCTGGTTCCCTGACCCTACTTCAGATGAAACGGAGCAATTCATTGATGTCAGGGAGTTGTAAAGACAGGAAACCAGACCATCTGGCTTGCACCCATTCACGGATGTGTATTACCGATTGCAAACAAAATGTGGACTAACTAAATTTGGTAAATTGGGGCCAGTACTTGAACAAAAAAATAAAAAAATTCACAGGATGCCACAACTTCACAGGATGCTTGAGACTATTATTCACTTACAGTCAAGTAAGGTTCTTCACAATAATTTGGTAGTTTTATTTTTTGATGTTTGCAAATATTGTATATTACCTTTAAGTAAATACTATATTTACACAAAATTTACCAATTTCAAACAAGAAATATTAAAGCAATACCAGAAAGTTATTATATATGATTTGAACGCATACCATGGACAGGCAGAATGCATTGGGGTTGAAGTCACTTCCAAGGGCCACTGCTACCCCACCCTCGATCATCTTCCTGACAGGGGGCGGAGTCAGTTTCAGTATGTAGGCGGTCGTGGGAAGAATCACAGCCACGCTTCCAGCCTCGGCCATTGCTGTAATCCCGGCGTCACTGATCTCTTCAAGGTGGCTGATGGCTGTTGCCTTCAGGGCAGAACCCATCTGGTAGAAGGAGTTGTTGGAACTTTGTTAATTGAATGGACAGTTCCAAATTCCTGCCACCTTTGGTTTGTGTACAGTTTTTTGTCACAGTGTTAAGCCTGGTTCATACTTCCCACGAAAGCGAAGCGAAATTCGTGACGTCAACAATACATTCAAAGCACGTCCACCATTGTTGATGACATGAATTTCGCTTTGCACTTGCCGTCGCATGAAGTATATGAACCGGACTTTAGTGACTGAGTTTGGCTCGGTGACCTACCCAATAGTCCTGACCTAATTGGTCAAAGTGCACTGTTTGATTGACAGGTAAGAAGTCCAGAGCCAGTTGCACTAGAGTGGTACATTGTGCACCTCTAGCCATTAGCTACAAAATATGTGTACTGTACTATGGAGGATGAAAAGTGAACATCTGCTTTTTTGCTATCAGAATAGCAATAATAGGCCAACGCAATCTGTTTTCCCAAGATTTGTAAATTGTAGCCGTGCCAAGTGAGGTCACAGTTCACGCTTCATACGTACAGACTACAGTGCATGTAGAGCGCGGGGCGAGTGTTCAGATGTCAGTGGCCAGACACCATCACGGCAACTGTTGACGAACGCCTTGACTAAGGCTATCTGAAAGCAGAAAAGCAAATGGCCCTTTTTCGACCACCAAGTAACATCTGCTTTTCCAATATCTGAAAACCAGAAAAGCAGAATACACAGTTGTTGTCAAAATGTTCAATTGGCTTTTCTGCTTTTCTAAAATGTGATGACCACTTTTAGGTTGCCTAGGTAAAATCTGCTTTTCAGGTGGGAGGAAAGCAGAAAATGGAAAAGTCGAAAAAGTGGACATCTGATTTTCTGTGACTTGAGCAAGAGAAAAGCAGATGTCCACTTTTTGTCCGCCAACAAAATGAGGAACAGTAAAATCTGCTTTTTATGTACCAAAAAAGCTGAAAAGTAGAAAAAAAGATTTTATTAAAATGTAAAATCTGCTTTTCTGGTCGCAGAAAGACAGGAAAAAATAAAAAAAAATTGAACTTTTGAAGACGTTCAATCTGCTTTTCTGCTACTCTGAAAGCGGAAAAACAGAGGTCCAGTTTTTGTCCTCCGTAACTGTACCTCAGCTGCACCCAAGTAAGTCAGCTCTTCACCGTGGAAATTGATTGACAGCCCCATCCGGAGTCCCGCCTCCAAGATTCGCCTGGTCTGCTCCACGTCAAATACGCCTTTCTCGCAGAAGACATCAATGTTATCTACTTGGACGTCGCCGGATTGGATGAGGTTCTGGAGTTCTGGCAGCTGCTTGTTGATGACATTATCGGTGGCCTCATCTGAAGTCATTCCTCTGTCCAAAAAAAAGGCAAAACAATTAGGAAAAATATTTGCAACAAACTACAAGAGTACAAAAGCAATAAATGTACCATTATGTATTTCAAATGACTTGGAATTCCAGTTTCTTAAACTTGATTATATTCATTAAGATTATTTAAGTCTTGAACCTAATCCCCATGGCATATAAGCCTCTGCACTGATGACGTCACACTTTGTTTACACGTGTGCTTTCTTATGGGAGCCTGGTGGGGACGACGGTTTCGTAGCCCCATAGAATAGTGCACAAGTAAACAAAGTGTGACGTCATCAGCAAAGAGGCTTATTGCTAGAAAGTTTTCTGAATCCAGACAAATCCATGATAGCTTTGTGAATACGCAATATAGATATTGGGCATGATGTGAGAAAATATGCAAGGTTGCTTAACTTTGGGATGTACATGTAGGCTGTTAACTCTTTCAGTGCCAAAGTCGTACATGTAGGAGGTATATTTGTTAGTTCGACAGTGCCAACCTCGTACATGTACGAGGTAATGTTCGTACTTAAAATCGCCAAACCTCGTACATGTACGAGGTGGAGTAAGCATGTTATCACAAAGGGGCGCTCTCGCTCTTTCTAATAATATCATTTTCATTCAGGTACAACCTGTATTTATTTGTTTCATTCGAGTTCTTGCGAGAGGGCGCAGCACTGACACTCGTATTTTCTGCAAAAAGTGCGGAATGTGGAGGACAGTGTTTCAGTGTTTCACTATGTATGAGACTACTATTGACTTTCCAATATACCAAGGATATGCCAGAGAGCAGCAACAACAAATGTAGTGAGTAAAACTTGTTTACTTTTTTTTAATAGAATTTTGAACAATTACAAAAAAAACGCTCGAAGTTGGGCACTTTAGGGTTAAACTTTTCAAATTTCGCAGGCACTAAAAGAGTTGAGTCAAAACCAGTTGAAAAGTTTGCATTGCAGAAAATTAGGCAATCAACCTGCAAAACTGGTGCATCAGAACCTGCACAGACACTGATAGTATTGTTTTGTCTGAATTACTGACTTATTGGGTGATCCAATATGCCTGTCAGATTACGTGACTCGATCACAATTCTGAGGACCACTCACTTTGGCACCGAATGAGCCCCACAGAAGGTGCTGGAGATCTCAATGGGCAGTTCCCGTCTTGCTCTCTCCAAGACTCGAAGCATCTTCATCTCCGTAGCCGTCTCCAGGCCGTAACCGCTCTTGCACTCTACCAGCGTGGTGCCCGCCCGCAGCATGCCTTCCAGGCGGGGCCGCAGAAGATCATAGAGCTCCTCTTCCGAGGCGGAGCGAGTGTGCCCTACGGTGTAGCCGATCCCCCCTCCAGCTTTGTGGACATCCATGTAGGAGGCACCTGCGAGCTAAAATTTGACCAGCCCACAAACATTACGTGTAAATGTATCTCTAAAATTTGTGTGTATAATGCCATCATAACTTGCACATGTACGTTGGACCGCTGATTTTCAGTCACAGCCACAGTCCTTTATTCACAAATAAAGTCAGAAGCTACTACACTGAACTGTGGCCGAGTCGTTCATTGTTCATATCACTTTTGACCCCCCCCAAAAAAAATTAGCGGCAGGTCCAAGTTTTTTCCTCGCAGTTGTGTATTTCCATGCGTAATCAACAGTTTATTACACATTAAAAGGTCCACTTTACAGGCATGCAGCTAGGAATTTAGAAAAAAAAACGAGGAGTAACTCCAAACCACTGAAGATTTTGTACAGTGTTTTTCAATTTGTAATGGCATTCTTGAGAGGTAAAAAACGAGGAAATCAGCGGATCCGCGGACAAGTTGCATGCATGACTTTATGGTAAAAATGACCCTACCCTTTCACCAGGCTGGCTACGGCCCTGACAAGGCATCGTTGCTAGGCACATTGTGTCTTGAACATGCACATATTCATAATACCTTGTAAAGCCTACCTTCATAGCAAACTCATGGACTCTGTCCCCTGCCCACACGGGATGTGTGTGACCGTCGACCAGTCCTGTAGGGTCAGAAATATAAACACAAATACAAGTAGTGCATAATTAACACTCACTCCTTAGGAAGCATCCTGAATCCTTCAAAATCCAAGACTGTGCAGGAAACTGGCAAATGTTTTTGCCTGTCAAGTGGCATTAAGACCATGTAAAGTAATAATGGTTGAGCTTTAAAAAATGTCTAGTACATGTACTGTACGCTGGTATCGAGTTAAATTTTGAACGATCTTTTTATATTTGGTAATCATAACCAGATTTGTTACTCCTTGGCCTTTGGGGATCTACATGCATAGACAATCATGTAAAATCCCACTTGAAATTCTCACAGACATGACAGAGAAATAAAGAAATGTTGGTATTAAATAAACACAAGAACAGATGTATGTACTAGGGTTCAACCTCAACTTTGTTTTTCACTAGCCAACCAGGTTACTGAAATAGACTCTTACATTGTAACTTGCCCGCGGGCATTTTCACTAGGCCGCATGGTTTTCTTTTATAGAAAGTTTCATAAACAACAATGTGCTTACATGTAATACGTGTATCATGAGACAATCTTGTCTGTGTTTTTAAACACTGAATTTAAGGATTCCTTTCTTCTTGTCCTTTCATCTTTGCTGTAGCCCAATAAATTTTGACTCACCAGCTTGGCTATTTTGGAATAGTTTGACTGGCCTGCCAATGTTTTGACCAGCGTTTGACTAGGGTTACTGCTGAAGTCGAACCCTGTCTGTTCACTTACATGTACATGTACATCATGTAAGTACAAGAAATCTTGGATCATATTATTGTCAATGCACCTTGTTTTTTTTTTTTTTTTTTTAATTTTCGGATAAATCATTCCAACCTTTTGCTTGAAAACAACAAGCTTAAACTCTACAAATATCTGTGGAGTTATATTTTCAGCCACCAATGTAATGAATACAGTTTTGTAAATAAATTTGAAAGCCAAATGAAACAATCATTTTATCTGAATGTTTTCACATAGTGGTGTTTGTTGTATGTAGCCGTGTTCTAATGTAATGATGAAAATTTTTTTGTTTAAAGTTCTGGACTCACCTGGCAGTACACACATTCCCTTCACATCCAGAATGTTGTCGAAGGTTGCATCACTGTATTTTTTTTTAAGAGCAGAGCTGGATCCTATGTCTTCTATCATTCCATTCCTAGAAAAAAGTTTAAGAATGAATGGGTAGAGATAAGGGGGCCGTATCATAAGTTCGACGCCTCATAGGTCCGACGCCTCATAAGTCCGAAATTTCGGACTTATGAGGCGTCGGACTTATGAGGCATAAAATGTATTTATTCCGCCTCTTAGGTCCGACGCCTCATAAGTCCGACGCCTCATAAGTCCGACAACGGAAAAACGAGGCGTTTAATTTGTCGGACTTACGAGGCGTCGGAGCTATGAGGCGTCGGATCTATGAGGCGTCGGACTTATAAGGTGTCGGACCTATGAGGCGTCGGACTTATGGGCCTTTATTTGATTAGGGGATGCGATTTTGTCAGACTTATGAGGCGTCGGACTTATGAGCGGACCCCGAGAAAAGAACATTAATTGGCAGTTGATGGGCACAATGTCACGGACCATCAACACTGTCTGAGGCCCTTTTTTTTTTACAAGTTGTCACAACATAGTAATCCAATTTCTCGGGGAACATGAGAATACACCCATCACATTTTGCGCGCGGATGTGGAGTGGGCATGAAGTAAATTTTAATCAATAGAGGGCGCTATAGAAAACCGACTGTGCATCCACGCAGCCAGGATGCCCGGATATAGAATGGAGTGGCCCTGTATTCTATAGTTGTACCTTCTCAAAATATACAGCTGAAGCTGAGCTGAAACTTCATCAGGTTAGTTGTTCAGAACCCTTCTTGGCAACATTACCATGTGCGAAGTTCACTAATTTGCCCCCAGATTGCAATTTCATGTCATCAAAGTCAATTTGAGCAGTGAGAAAATACAAGCATTTTCTTAGAAAACACTTAGAATTTTTCAGTCAACTCTCATAGGGTTTGTACACAGAGTGTTGAGTGAACTTCGTATATGGAAATCTTTCCCCCTTCTTTAGATTTTGATCTCTTTTGTTGCTTCAAAATCAAACGAACAAAATGCACAAATTACAAATTGAACAAAATGCACAAATTACAAATGATGGACTATTTGTTTACGGAGGTAGTCCAGAAAACTGGCCACATTTATGGGGCTAATCTATATCATGCATTTTTATTATGTAGGGCAATGAATAGAAACTCACAAATTAACAACAATGCTGACATTGTCACCCTCCGTATCGGTCCCATCCATTCCGGGCAACGGTTGTGGCATAACTGCGACCCGGCTCATTTCTTCGCCTCGAAGCACACGCTGATTACCATTACATACCACAGCAACTTGCTTTGCATTCTTCAAAAGGAGTTTGAACCTGTTGTTAGCACTCATCTTCGATTTCCCTCGTAAAGTGTTGTTATTATAATAATTCTGATTACTTCTTGACACCATGGATTATGGTTGCTAACTTAAACTAGCTGCGGCTATTGTATATTGCCCACGTGTACAGCATAAACATTAGTGCGCGAATTTACGCGCGCCCTCAAGCGGCCAACAAGGGAAATAAAAAAAAGAGAATAATTCCATTTCTTCATACAGAAAATTGTTAGCCTAATTTTTGTATGCAATGATATTTTGGCGTCAGAAAAAAAGAGAAAAATAACAATGTTGCTCATCAGCGGCAATCAAAGCTATAATTTACTGATCATCATCAGACATTGATCGACTGCAGTGGAGACGCGGTGCCTGCTGTTCTAATTTGGGGCAACATATGGGACCCAAAAAATTGGACTGGTATGTGTGTAGTAACATACACTCTACATAAAAAACTAGAATAAAGCACCCTCATATCAGACAAAAAATACTACATGCTCCTCATGAAAGACATGCAAGTTTGAGAAACTACGATTCCTCCTTCCCCCTCCCAAATTTCCCGCTCGCGCATTACTAGCACAGAGCGACCTCATAAATCACGTCTTTGTTTTCATGTCAGCTGACGCATGAGCAACAACTTTTTAAATTATACTTTCATTAACTGAATTTTAATGTCACAACTTGTCCACTTAATTTGATGGCGCTCTGTACAAACCTTTTCTTACAAAAGTTTGCACTGATCCTAGATGAACAGGAAAAGGCTGGATTTTTCTATATAGAGAATCCCTTTTTATTTCCTTGCTTCTCATTTCCGATCCGCCATAGCTTACACAAGGCACATTACGGGCATACTCTCGCAAAATGTGGTTCGGCAGCTTTCTATACAAAAACCTCGTTGGCTCGGGGTGTTGTGCGTAAACCTTATCAGTCAGCCGATCGCGCTCAATCGACTTCGGCCAAACCGCAAGTCCCATCATAATAAGCTAACCACGTTAAGGCCAAAACAAAAAAAATAAGTCGGTCTCTGGTCAGTGCGCACGTCGATTTTAATCATGCACGTCGATCTTTTTTTTTTCCAAAATGTTCCGCGGTAGCTCCAACAGCGCCCTCTATTTCCGCACCTCCTCAATTTTTTTTTTTACCAAAGAGTACCAAGGAATGGGTAATTGCACCAAGGCAAACGATTGAACGCACCAAGGCAAATAATGGAGGACACCAATGTACATGAGGACACCAAAAAAGTAAAATAGTACCCACCTTGTCTGTACAATCCAAGCTTGAAGAAAAAAAAAAAAAGCCCCCCCCCAAAAAAAAAGCCGCGTGGCCGCGTCAATTCCGGAACTCTGGTCTGACCAGGGACCGAATATTTTTTTTTTTTGGCCTAATCGGACCATTTTTCCCTAGAGTGTGTCTCTTTTTTTCCCTAGAGTGTGTCGATGTTGAATGACGTTTTTAGGCGAACCGGATTAATGGACTGATCCAGTAAACCCATAGAGTTATATTATACAAACTAGAGCGCGCATTCACTATTACGCACGCATGCAGACGTGCCACCCAGTAGACCTCGCCGCCATTTTGTAAGTGGGCAAAAAAGTACTCGGATGCCACTTCAGGATTGACTGCAATGCGTATCTTGTTGTTTTACTGTTGGTTCCACTTATAAATCCCCCCGACGATGCCTTGTTTTACCGTGCTGTTTTGCCTAACGTTATGTATATGTGTTGTGTACATGTGCTTTGCCCACTTACAAAATGTCCTTGCCAGCACGGTGTCACGTGATGAGTGCGCTCTGTAGTTTTTTTTAATATGAGTAAACCCCGCCCACTGCGCACTGGGCAAATTAACACGTGCTCCTATCCAATGCCACACTGCATCATTCCTGCCGCGCGCATCATACGCGCGTGACTTTTGTGCGAGCACGTCGGACATATTATAAGTCACGGCTGTGATTGGTCAGAACACCATGGGGCGGTGCTTACTGGATCAGTCAATCATAGTCCAACCACACACCGTATACCTTTATTAGAAAGAAAAAAACTCCGTTTATTTCGTTGCATTCACGATGATCATTATCGTACACCTCCATGCTATCGTTAATTTCATGTCGCGAGGAAAAAACGACGTTGTAGAACTTCAATGTCTAGAAAAAAAATGCGATCATCGACAGTGTCGTGAAATAAATTATTTAGTACGTCTTAGTTGTCCCTAGTTCGGGCCCAGGGGCGGCGAAACCGGGGTGGCACTCCCCCCCCCCCCCCCTTAGATTTTCCCAAGTGCCCCTCCTGCGGACACAAATGTGCCCCCTTGAGCATAAAATGTGCCAGCCCCCTCGAGATATATAAAAACAAAACTGACTCTAAAATCTCGGATAATTTATTTTCCCAAAATGGTATAGCCTGAGAGTTCTGATATAAGCGGGGAATATGAAAACCCGAGCCCTAAAACCTCTACAATGGGTCTTGAAAATGGGCACATTATAAATTTCAACCGGAAATACGTCAAGCACCAAGCCTTGGAATTTTCAAGTCAGAATTTCTGTCTCTTAACATAGATGACATCATCAGGGGGCCCACTTTGTCGAGGAATGGATAGGTCGATACACAATTTGGTTGAGGACTGTGTTTACCGTGACTGTTTATTCCACAACAATAATTAATACACATTGATTGATTGAACTGGTTACAGTGAACTGAGACAAAGAGAACTGGGTGAATTGAAATAGACAAGAATAGAAATGGAACAGAATTGAAATTGAAACAGAATGAAACAGAATGAGATACTGCTGGTGGAGCAGCACTTATATACTGGTGGAAACAGGAAGTCTTGAGAATATGAAATACTTAAGAATGGGGAAATTTAGTCATATCGTGGTTTCCTTGAGTCTCAGAAAAAAAATGACTAGGAATTAGTAATATAGTTCCTTAAAACAATGATCTTAAAAGTAACTTGGTTTAGTGACCAAAGACTTGCGTGTGGGCAGTGAAGGTCATTTGCTCTGTATAAAAGTATAGGGACTACACATTGCATAGGCACTGTGTGGGTGTATGTGTATACAAGGAAAACGATGAGTAATGCATTCAGGAGAATTAATCATTAAAAAGTTCAAAAGGAACATTGATAATTAAAGTGTGATAATTAACTAAAAATTAAGATGAATTGATAATTAAGAATTGATAATCTGAAAACGCTACACTATGTACACAATCCACAAAACAATGTGAGGAAATTCCGGCACTGCAGCTGATGACAAAAACTCTTAAGAAAATGTCCACTTTTAGATGGAGGTACTTTTCCTCCAAACACGGAACCATTGATTAAACAGATATACAATAATATAACATGGTTTGAGGGTAGATATCAGGCTCCCCGAAGTATTGGGAGTTCGTCGAGGGAACTGTAGTTTGTGAACTTCCAGTACCGAGGGGAACTAATAATTACACAAAAGAACATGGTTTGAGGGCGGATAATCGATATTAGTGTCGGGCCCCTTGTAATAGTTGGGCCCTCCTATTTATAATTATTGAGTATGCGTGTATAGCCAGTCTATTTCATTAATGCCTCAGAGCGAAATAAGATGTTAAGTTGGTGATGATCTTTCTTACCGCTGGCAGATTGTTTATTTATATCAGTCAGCACCTTTGAGTCTTTTCACATCTCCCGTTTCAGATTTCGCAAGGGGAACTGACCCGGTTCGCTTCCCTACTATAAGGCCAAAAAAAAAAGTCGGTCTCTGGTCAGCGCGCGCGTCGATTTGAATTATGCGCGTCAAGCTTTTTTTTTCTTCAAATTTTCCGAGTAGGTACAACAGCGATCTCCATTGCCGCACCACCTCACAAATGTTTGTACCAAGGAGCACCAAGGAAGGGGGAAATTGCATCAAGGCAAATGATGGAGGGCACCAACTTAAGGCAAACGATGGAGGACACCAATGGATATGAGGACACAAAAAAGCAAAATAGTACCCACCTTGTCTGTACAATCCAAGCTTGAAACAAAAGGCCAAAAAGAAGGGGAAAAAAACGCGTCGCCGCATCAATTCCGGAACTTTGGTCTGACCAGAGACCGACTTTTTTTTGGGGGGGGGGGGGGAGCTAATACCCCAGACTTCAGTCTGTACGTGCCAGTCGTGAAGTCCTGGCCAAGTTGGACCCAGAATAGGACCCAGCAGATCATTGGACGGGGAACCAAACGGGAACCAAAATCGTCAAGTTGGATCATCTGAGAACTCAGCAAAGTAACAGGAGCGTCGCTAACGAAAGACGTGGATAAGCGCCCCTCAGATACTTACTAATTTATGTATTGATCTGTAAGTTTCGGTGTATATTGTCACCACATATGCTGTTAAATTAGACTTTCTTTATTTCATAATTGTCTCTGTGAATTTATTGTCTTGAGTACCGTTTTATCATCGAATCGCATTAGAGACACACTCTTGGAAAAAATGGTCCAGTTAACTTATTCCTTATGATGGGACTTGCGGTTTGGCCGAAGTCAATTTAGCGTGATCGGCTGACTGATAAGGTTTACGCACAAAACCCCGATCCAACATGGTTTTTGTATAGAAAGCTGCCGAACCACATTTTGCGAGAGTGTGTCCGTAATGGGGTTGAAGTCTGCCGGTAATGCTGAGCCATACTGCCAAAGTTACCAATGGCATCCCTACATTTTCTCGAGCAAATAGGACCCATTTTTGGACCCTCATTTTATCAAATCTGCTCATAGATAATGGCCCGTGATCCTCGGTAATACTCGCACGATTCCACCGATTTTTAAACTAGACGGTCTCGTTTTTTACACAAAATTGTGGGGGCACTTTTTATGCAAATTAACGACTCCGGTAAATTTTTGAAACCCTAATCAAAATTATTGCGCCCGCTGTCGGTTTTATTGCGCCACTAATAAAACATCATTTCAGCTTGGTTTGTTACTTTTGTAGTAGCTTGACCTACCTGCGCCAACAACTAAAACAAAAATAGGCAAAATACTGACAACCTTCTAAGGATATCAAGTGTCTCACATCTTTTAAGTTTTATTTATTTTGTTTAATTCCTTAGTCTTATTGACATACAAATATTTAAACCAATTCATACAAACAAATACAAGAGATTCAAAATGAGGAAAAAAGTTGGGCAGAAGGCCAATAAATTTGAAAATTAATAATAACTTTATATCATAGATGATTATTACATAAGCAACGACTACATGACTGTGCACGGTAAAGCCAGGTTTTTGTATTTCGCCATTATGTGAATAAGATTTTAAAAAGGGAAGATAAAACTTGGAATGCCCCCCCCCTCCAAAAAAAATTCCCGATTATTTTGAAACATTTCAGGACTATATTTAGTCTAATTTAGCTATTATGTGAAAAAAATATTTGATGCGAGGCAAGTTCAACACTCGATATATATTTCGTTTATCCTTTTGTGAGGTTAGTTAATTATTAATAAGAAAATGAAAAGACGTGCAAAACCACCAAGAAAAACAATTGTGCATACGAAGTAAAAAATATAACAAGTAAAAAAAGTGTCATGAAATAAATCACAAAAGGACAAACACAAATGTAATTTGAGTGTCACTAATACCCGTTGCAATGCATTTTAATGGATAGAAGTTCCTGAACAGTTTATTCTTTAAATTTTCCTAAAAATTAAACGTTCTTGTGTTTTCTAATATAGGTATCTCAGTAAAGTTAACAAGTAACAGTGATGTAAGCTATTATTTCTTCCAATAATATTATAACGGTAACTTTGGCGTAAGAATTCGTATTTTCGTCGTTTTTATGTTTTATAATATTGCAAATTTGTGATCCAATATTCCACAAATTGGAAAGTGTCTGATGAGGGCATCTTTGTCCAGTCTCATCCAAGCTTGGCGGTCGTCATCTTCTAAAATATGACAAAAAGAGTAAACTAGCAAAATTTAGAATAAATATTTAAAGAGGAAATCAAGCATTGTAAGAAGTGACATAGTATTAAAGGAATAACAAATTTAAGTGTAGGCCTACATATCCCTGGTCTCTTTTCAAGTAAACATACCTCAAGAATCGGTAATGGCCAACCAAGCAGGCAGAGTCAGTCAACCGTCGGTCCTCCCATCTTATGGTAGCTTGAGGCAGGCTCATCCATCTCAGTAAGACAATTCCTCTATCAGTCAGCCTCATGTCTGTAGAAAGATTCAAATGACGAAAGAAAATATCCGAATTATTATTAAGAAATATCTGAAAGGTAGAGCAAGAGAGGGGGGGGGGGAATGTTCAAATCAACCCCACAAAGCAGTGCCCCACTACCAGCACTCTTTATTTGTGGGAGAACATAGAAGAGCGCCAGATCACCCATTTTGTTTACTTGTTTCTGCTTATTCTTTAGGTACATGTAACTAAAAACTAACCTCAAGAATTAGTAATGGGAAGCCCAGCAAGCAGGTCATCCGTTCATCTGTCGGTCCTCCTCCCTGCTTCCGGTTCCTCGAGTTTCTGTTTGATGAGGCTGTCGGAGCCCTGACGATGTCTTGAGGCAGGCTCATCCTCATCTCAGTAAAGCAATTCCCTCATCAGTCAGTGGTCCTCACTTTGCTGAAAGGATTCAAATAACGAAAGGAAACATTTGAATTATTGAGCTGTATTCGTGCCAGGGCTCGAAAGGGGAAAGAAAACATTGAATTAACCCCACAAAGCAAAGCCCTGCTACCAGAACTCGTTTGTGGACGAACATAATAACAGAGTCAGATCGCCCATTTAAATTAGTTCTGTGACTTGATTGTTCCTGTTAAGAGGAGGCCTACATGTAAACTAACCTAATAATCAGTAATGGGAAGCCCAGCAAGCAGGTCATCCGTTCATCTGTCGGTCCTCCTCCCTGCTTCCAGTTCCTCGAGTTTCTGTTGGATGAGGCTGTTGGAGCCCTGACGATATCTTGAGGCAGGCTCATCAATCCCAGTAGAGCAATTCCCTCATCAGTCAGTGGTCCTCATTTTTCTGAAAGGATTCAAATGACGAAAGAAAGCATTTGATTTATTGAGCTGTAACCGTGCCAGGGCTCGATAGGGGAAAGACAACATTGAATAACCCCACAAAGCAAAGCCCCGCTACCAGAACTCGTTGTTTGTGGACGGACATAGAAGAGCGCCAGATCGCCCATTTTGATTAGTTCTTGATTGTTTCTGTTTAAGCAGGCTACATGTACACAAACCTGATAGTCAGTAATGGGAAGCCCAGCAAGCAGGTCATCCGTTCATCTGTCGGTCCTCCTCCCTGCTTCCGGTTCCTTGAGTTTCTGTTTGATGAGGCTGTCGGAGCCCTGACGATGTCTTGAGGCAGGCTCATCCTCATCTCAGTAGAGCAATTCCCTCATCAGTCAGTGGTCCTCACTTTGCTGAAAGGATTCAAATAACGAAAGGAAATATTTGAATTATTGAGCTGTATTCGTGCCAGGGCTCGAAAGGGGAAAGAAAACATTGAATTAACCCCACAAGGCAAAGCCCTGCTACCAGAACTCGTTTGTGGATGAACATAATAACAGAGTCAGATCGCCCATTTTGATGATTTCTGTGACTTGATTGATCCTGCGAACAGGAGGCCAACATGTAAACTAACCTCAGTTAAACTTGATAGAAGTGCATATTTTGCAAATGAAGGCGCTGTTGAGATAACGTCACTGTAGGCACACGCTCAACAACATTTCAGGGATTCATACAATACTGACATGACCTCACGATGTATCTCATTGAAAATGTAATTTTATTTAGTTTGTAAATCGATAAATTAACAAAGAAAGATCAAAGAAGAGAGAAAATTGACCCGAGCGAAATACAAAAAGTACAACATTTGATGTACAAACAGCCGAACACTGAAGCTTCTACCTGTGATGACACCCATTTGCGTTACTATGGGGAATTTAGGAAAGGCAAACATTAGCTTTTTGTAATGCTTTGAGTATCCCCCCAATTAAAGGAATGAGCCCCCAAGGCTCCCCCCCGCCACCGCAAATTGAACACTGATTGCGCCACTGATGACACCACTGTTTTGCTCATAAATGTGGGGAATTTATATTAGCACCAAATAAAGACACGAATCACAACATTATCTGACATTATGACGATTAAAAACATATGATTTTAAGCATGGTTGCAGCATTTAACTTAGACAACTTTGGCCATTCAACATTTCTCATGAGCCTACCTTTATTGCACTTTGCCGACAATTTTGCGAACAGTAAAACGCGATTTTGCCGACGCTGATGAAGTTCGCGTGACGTTAAAATTGATTAGACTTCAAATAAGTTGATTTCTGGGTCCACTCGATCCTTTCCATTTGCATATAATATACATCAATGCGCATGTAAATGAGGAATGTGCAATGAATATAGATAGCATTGATATGGACTTACCATATTTGTTCTTGTTTACTCATTCCATCAAGATGGTAAAAAGTGCAAACAGGTCACGATATCCGAAAATATGACATTTGTCTGTTTTTTTCAACAAATAAGCTTCAAAAATAACAGATTAGGAGCTGGAAGGCAAAAATACCAGATGTGCAACTTAAGAGCACCATTTTCGGATGTCGCAAGGTATCCTACAACAGAAAAAATAATATTAAGATTAATCAGACAATTTTTCGATTATATGGCCTTATCCCAGGGACTATGAGGATAACTGGTGCTGTGGCCCACCTCTGCAGGGACTGGACACCAACGATGCGGCACTTTATACCAATCAACCAGCCTGACGCAGGAGAGCTGAAACGACACGTCACAATACTTGAGCGCGTATGTGTTACACCAAAAACGGCGCATTTGTAGCGTTTATTTACTTTGCCGTTTTCGGTGCTATTGGATACAATTGGGTTTTTGGGAAGTTCGAAAAGAGCCTCAAAATCCGCCTTTCCTTGTGTTTTTCACCACGAAAAGAGGTGGATGATTTACCCCCGGTCAAAAAATGTGTGTGTTGGAATATATCACCCCACCCGCCATGGATTTACACCCCTGGTCATCAGTACCTCTTGGGCCTGCATGTTTGTCTCGTCATCAGTACTTTCTTTCCCATCTTCAACCACTCAATATACCGCTTGATCTCCATGTCTTACTTTAATCACTGAAATTGTACAAAATGAGTAAAAGAAATCTCATCATCAACCTTTCAATTTATTGCATCACAAAATTCAAGGCATTTCATTACTACAGTCGGGTTTTTGTTTGTGGTCAACCGGTTAAGGAATTTTGCATAATCCTCGGCGCCCGAATCCTCTAAAATATTTCTTTGTTATAGTATTTGACCCAATGGAATGGGCGCGTGAATGCTTTGGGATTTGAGAGGCAATGCAGCATGGAGGCCTTGCCGTCGAGTTCTCCGTAAGCTGACCCACCACAAAGCGGCAGTTCGCTGAGATCGTTGGAGGGCCGAAATAGCGTTTAATTCTACGTGGACAAGAATGTTTCAATTTTCTTTTGACTTATTAAGGTTCTGATTTATTATTTAGTTATTTAGTTATTTATTTATTCATCAACTTGATCGCTCACGGTTTTACTTTTGCCCGTGCAGAAGTAGTTCGGACCCTGTCGGTGATTTAATTCTCAATTTCGGCACTTGATCTTTCAACTATGGTGGCAGTTATTGTGCAGCTAGTGGTAGTGCGTGCACGAGTCCGGCCAAACCCCTGTGATTACCGTCAACTCTACTAGCCACTCCTCACTTGCTGCGACCATCATCATCATCAGTTTCCAAATCCAGCTATGGGACGTTGAGCCACCCATGCCAACCGATCAGTCGAGATGAGCCACAGGGCAGGGGCTGACAGAGCATGGTCAGCCTCAAGCTGTCGCACCCAGGTATTTCGGGGTCGGCCGGGTGGCCGTGACCAACCAGGATCGAACTGCGACCGAACCGGGGGAATTCAGAGGTATGGCATATTGCGTATTATTTTATCCCGAATATATGGGTTTGCCTGCAGGTTATAAGCCCCAATCACTAATGGTTTGTATGACAATAGATTATTGGAAATGAAGACATTGAGCAGCAGATCTATCGTGAATCGAAAGGACTGAACATCGCGCATCTCTTTGTATATACTTTTATTCCGAATGTGTTATCAAGTTATATGACATTTTTTTGTTTTGTACAGATAATACAGTAATAATACTTGGTGGAGTTAAAAGATCCATATGGACTTCTTAAGCTATGCAGCGAAATGGATTTGAAAATATAACAAATTACTAACACGGTTGTAAGTCAATTCTAGTTTTCTGCAGGTTGGACGTTCCACTGCATAGCCATCCTTAAAATATGTATCGATGTGGCGAGTAAAGCCGACTGCGGCAAGATGTTTGTGCATGCGTATGTCGAATTTCTGATATTTTGTTGACGTATATTATACTCACATTTTCTCTTTGTAAATAACATAATCGTAACGTGGAAAAGAAATGACATCGAGGGCCTATCTTACACTTGAGTATGTGTAGGCCCAGAGATAGGCACGGGGCATTTCCATTACAGGGCGTCCTGAAAAAAAATGGTGCATGTAAACCCCTCCATTTTTGCTAATTTACAACCAAATATTTAAAACTAAACTGCACATGTTTACACCATCTTCAAGGTAATAGATTTAGCTTGAGAATACCGTTTATTTAATTGAGGTTGCTTTTGTAAATCCAAAGATATAATTGAATAACGGCAAAGCCAAGAAACCCATTTTGTGCCACTTTCTGTGAAGCAGTTAAAATCAGTATAGTCCTAGTCTAAAACCAAATCACTTTACTGTTAGCAAAGTGTGCAATATTTATTTATATTTAATTGAACTCCTTCATTGAAGTTTTAAAGAAGCGAACCTGTCTGTACTATTCCATTTTTTCAACATAACAACAACACGCTACTGAATGGAATGTTTGTCTTGCACCCATAGGGATTATTGTCTGATCTTTGAAGCACTCGCTTCCTAAAACTAAAAGTGTCACAAAATAGTTTTTTTGGCACTGCGGTTATTCAAACATATCTCTTGATTTTCAAAAGCAATCTTAATTAAACAAACGGTATTATCAAGCTATATCTGTAACCTTGAAGATCTCAGTGTTAACATTTGCAGTGAATTCCGGTTGTAAATTGGCGAAAATGGCGGGGTTTACATGCACCATTATTTTCAGGACACCCTGTATAACTCGCGTTACATTTATTAGGGGTTTTCCGCGGGAGGCAACTTTGTACTGTTTTTCTTTAAAGTCAAAGTGGTTAGTGTGGATTTTCCTCGCAGAATATCCCTTGAAATTAAGTGCCTAAACTATGATAATAAAGGCAAACAAAATAAACGTCTGTTGGTTTGGCAGTAGTTTTTGTTTTATCGGTAACTCACGTTACACCAAATGGACATGGACAAAACAATTAAGTATTTTGCATTTGAAATTTTTGAACGGATATTATTATTTTATGTTGTTCAAAATAACACT